TTTTATTTACTATTTACTAAGATTTATAAATAGTCGAAGAACACATTGCTTATACTAGTCTAAGACTGTCATAAATTGGCTCTCAGCTGACAGTCAGCTGACTGGCTGAGTTCCATTATATTCCTCTGCTTGCTTATTTTATTAGAGTATTTACTATCAGAATCGTAGTTTCTTATTCAAGGGGGAAAAGGATATTCTTTTCCTCCTCTTTAAATGCGCTTGCTTGCGGCCACAGCTACTTAATTCCATCTAATGGGAGATAAGGATAAGGATAGTTTTATTCCATCTAAAAATAAGAATACTGTAGTTTAATTCCAACAAAAAAGCCAGTACAAATTTATAACCTATTAGCACAATGCTACGCAAGTTTATTCAAAATTCCAAGCTAAAGGGTTTACCTCCTTAGTATATGCCTACTTGGCAGCACTGTAAAATGCCTATTTTGATATTATACGAAGCAATAAGATGAAGTTATTTTTGAGAAAGAGAACATATTACTATATCCTGTTATCATTTAATGATAGTGTAAGTTCCTAAAAAAAGGACAAAAATAAGTGTTGGGGATGTAGTAATCAAAGTAGACAGATAAAGTTACAAAAACAAAGTGCTTTTAGGTCGCCTATCCTATATATATGCCTTTACAAGCCTACGCTCTGCAATGTTTACGACGCTGCGAAAGTCCTCCCCCTTCATCAGCTTTGAAACCAGACACAAATTGCTTGAGACCCGATGAAGCCGTTCCAGTTGCTTTCCCATCGAGGTCTGCACATGCGCATCTCTTTCTTCTTCGTCTTTATAAAACTGAAGAACGAAAGCTGGCCATCGGATGTGGGCGTGGCTTCAGGTGCTCCCCCCCCCCCCCCCCACCAGAGCTAAACCACGCAAGAGGCTCATCGGACGGCGAAGGCCAGGGAAGAAGGAATCATGGATATGCAAAAGATCTCAGATAAGGGGCGGAGTTAACGATACGGATTGGCTAGGGCGGACAACAGCGTGCTGGAGTGGGAGTGAAGGTTAGCGACGGGGAGAATCTTGTTGCAGATACATTGCTGCATGGGGGTGGTCGGGGGCGGGGCGTAGGAAGCTTAGCGGGACTACCTGATCTTCCATCTCCGACGTCTGGGCGGTGGGCGGGGCCCCACATTGGTGGGCGGGAACTTTCCCCTCGGTTCTCTTGAGCTTCGGGAGCCGCAGTTTCGGAGGGGACAGCAGGTGAGGGCGGCCGCGGAGGGGGGCGGGAATTGCTGCTGCTGTTTTCTTCCTGCGGGTTATCTGGAAAGACTTCGGGACAGAGCGTGCCGAAGGGTTGGTCCTCATTCCCTAAATCGGAGGCGTGGCGTGGGTATAGACGGGGAGGGGGGAGGCAGAATGACGCACTGGGGGGGGGGCGGGGATATGCCCAGTTTTGGGGTGTGAGGGGGGGGGGGGGGGGGGGGAGAAAGAGGAGTGATGTCACGTGGGACCCCCAACGTCTGAAAGGAAACCTGCCGTTTGGCTGCACGTGCACCCGGTGGCGCGGTGGGAAGCCGGTTTGCGTGCGCTTGTTATAACCGCTGATTTCGGGAGCGCGTCTTGGGGTTTGTGGCAAGGTGGGGGCGAGAGATGAAACAGTGGCGATGTTTGCGGGCAGAACCGGGAGCCGAAGCCAAGACAGCTGGAGTGGCACCCAGGATGTGTTTCTGAATGTATAAAAGGGTTATGCAACAGAGGTTCTTACGAAGGGAGGAGGGGTGGGACTGCTGTGGTATCCTCTGAAGGAGCCCTTCCCCATTTCCCACGATCAGCTGCATCTTTATCAAACCCGTAGTACAAATAGCCTCTTTTTTCTTTCTTTCTTGTTTTTTACTAAGGCCCAAGACTTTTTAAGTCAGACTTGATTTTCTCGCCCCCTGGTCCGCCTAAGGTATGCCAAGAAGGAACAATTTCACTAATACAGCTTTAATAGGTGTCATGTCTTTAAAGTGGGGGCATTTAAGGTAAAACGGCAGGTTAAGGATAGATTGACATTGAAGTTACTCTTCTGTCCATTTGCTACTGATTAATTGAAGTCGGATTTAATTTGAACTAATGGAAGTATTGTCCTATGTGTAAAGCAGCCAGATAGAACAGCTTTCAGTCCTAGTACATTTTTTTTTTCTATTTTGAGGAACTAGCCTGGCTACTTCTTTGACATACCAAACTTTTTGTGACATCATTTCTGTTTAATAATTTTCTGCCAGTATCCCTCTATTAAATGAATAGATAGCATAACATTATTTTAATAATCATGTTTATGTTTGAACATTCAGAAGCACAGTCATTTATTGGTAGAACAGGAAACGCCCCTTAATTTATGAAGATTAATAAATGCCTTCCATGTCAAATTAGAAATGTTTCTGTGGTTAGGTTTTATTATTTATGTATTATATTTATATCCAATTGTAACAAAAAACCCTTCTGATTTCTGTGCAGTTATCACAATATAGAATATTAATTTTAAAGGCTCTGCAACTTGCTGAAACTTTTTAACAGAACTGTTGGTGGTAGTTGATGAAGCTTGTGCTATATTTAGTAGCAGGATAAGACCTAATGGTGTTTAATGCTATTTGGAGCCTAAACTATGCACAACTAAAATGTAGACTTTTTCTCCAGTAGATTTTGAATTCTTTAGTTATTCACTAAATGAAATCAAGTAGATTTAGGGCTAGCACATTTAAGATGTGGAATCTGTTGTACCATCCTCTGAGGAGTGAACAAACTCACTGAAAGATATCCAGTGTATGATGAATCTGAGTCTAGTTACGGGTGGCTTGGCTTCCTTCAGATAACCTACATGCAGCTGGTGAGCTGAAAAGCCAAAACTTGTTTTGAAGGAAGATGTGACTCATAGCCAAGTCCGTCAAAGATGTATTTGCCTTTTCTTTTCTTACAAAGCTCTTATTAAGTATTATTGGAGAATTGTTTTGCTAATAAATAATGCTTACTATATTCACAACTTACAAAACATAAGATCTGTAACTTTAAATATTTCTGTAAGTCACCCAGAATCATTGATGAGTAGACAGCCTATTAAAGTAGAAATAATATCTAATTTACAATTTAAAATAATATAAATTATTTTATATTCTTAAATGTATTTTATAATCTACTAAAATAGTAGATTTAACCAGTTCAAATATTCTGGAGAGAGTACAATACTATAAAAGTGGATTGAAAAATGGCCACCAAAGAGATCTTTATCATTCCTGAATTTATCTGGAAAGAATTAATTACTCTAATGAATTCCAATATACTCAGAATTACACATGAGAATACTCTTCCACAATTTACAGGATTACATTTTGAAATGTAAGGAGTAGACTGAAAGTAAATAACAATAAGATCATGTCCTGAACTTATGTATAATTCAGAGAAAAATAGTTTTCAAAGTCAATAATTTGCCAAATATACTTTCTAGTCAGCTCTGAGTGCTAAGACTTTACGGTAGAATATGTGCAATATGCTATATCATATACTTTTATGATACCTGATTTAATTACATAGTTCACAATACCCAGATACTGGTTTTTGGCCAAGTCTAAAAACACTAGAGAATTCCTGGAAACCTGGCACTCGGACAAAGCAGCCACCAACAGGCACATAGAAGTAAACAACACACACACACACACACACACACACACACACCACATTCCAAAGTCAAAAAGCCAAAAATGAAAGAAAAACCAAAACACCACCCTACCAGCACTCAACACCCAGATAAACACCAAGATTAATACAAGAACAGCAATTGTTTACTTGTTTTGTTTGTTTACAATATCCCAATAAGAAACTATCAACTCAGACAAACTAATAGTAAACAGCCTAATCAAAAAACCACCAAGAACACTGTCAGGGCAAGCCACTAGTATATAAAAAGAGAACAAACCCTACACCAGTGGTTCCCAAGGTGGGCCCATGGCCCACAGGGGGGCAATTTGATTTTTAATGGGGGCAATTTGGAACCTTGTTTAAACCAAGTTAATGGCCTTTTAGGCTTCCTTGTGAGTAGGAGTTCACTTTTTGAATAGTAAGAATTATATGTCCGAGGGGGGCATCAGGATTTTAGAGATGTTTAGGTGGGGCATGGCCAAAAAAAGGTTGGGAACCACTGCCCTACACCTTTGTAGCACTGATGTTATCTTGTTTGGTAATGAAACATCTGCCAGAAAACAGCTAAGCTCAGAGAGCAGCCAGATATATCCTGAAGTAAAACATTGTATTATAATATGCTCTATCAGAGAAATAGCTGGATTCATAAACATATGAAATAAATAAATTTATAAATATAAATTAAAATTTATTGGATAGAATCCTGAAAAAAATTCCTTCAAAATACTAGTGGAATTGGAATCTATAAAAACAATAGGTCAAAAAAAGAAATGATGGTTGCTGTCTTATTTTATATATTGTTTCACCAATCTATTTCTTAAAATAACAGACATCCCCAAGTATATGAAAGCATAAAAGCGAATCGACCAGTTGTAATTATGTTTAAGGAATATTAAAACTTTTATGTATTTTGGTAACTTTTGTTTTATGTATTGTTGCAGTGCACTAAAATTGGCTCATTGTCTTCAGAGGTCTGCAGAATATAATTCTCAGATAATTTACAGTTATTGACCCAGATGAACCTAAGGTAGCGGATTGCAATGAATCAAGCTAATTAGAACTGTCCTCTAGAAATGCAGAAAAACAGTACTTTTCAGAAGTTGTCCTAATATATTTTTCTATATTTAACTTGGAATAATCAGTAGATTATGGGATAGCAGTCCTAAAACAGAACGTATACATTCTAAGATACCTGGAAAGAAAAGGGAGTGTTTTTCTGCTTTACCTAATTTCTTTTCATAAAATACAAAAATATTAGTGAAACAAATTGACATGAATTTAGATATATTTCTGCCAAATCTAAGAAACAAGTGAAGGGTTTTACTTAAGTCCATGCAAATGATAACAGAAGGCTGTTAAGAAAACATTTCATTCGAAAAAAAATGGATTCTGAGTCTTACATTCTCTCTTTCCCATTTTTCGTAAGTATTTACATAAACTTCACTTCAGAGTTTTGCTTTACTTTAGTAGCCTAAAGTATCGATCTCTTGTTCAGTGGCCAGTCAAAGCTATAACAGTGCTGACAAAGGAGACTTAAAACCAGTCCTTTGAATTCTGGCCATTATAGCACCCTTGTGGTCACATGATTGTAATCTGGATGCTTGGCAACCAACTTGTACTTATGATTGGTGCAGTATTCAGTGGTCACACAATCAATTTTCCCTGCTAGCTTCCTACAAGGAAGGTCAATGAGGAACCTGGCAGGAAAGATAGTAATTTGCTTGCAGCATCCACTGCCTAGCAGCAGCCAACCCCAACTCCATTATGCTTGTACTATACTTCATGGGCTACTCATGTACCATCCCCCTGCTCAGCAGCAGCCACTCTTGTTCCTGTGCTGGTCACTCCACGTGGTAACAACTGGCCCTACCTACATACTTGCCTGCTGGCCTGCTTGTAAGTCACCTGGAACTCGCTTAATATGCTTAATGACAGCAATGAGGAGTAGCCAGATTCCTGTTGCAAAATGATGCAGTACATGTGACCTCATGCTTTATGAGAATTTCTGATCCCCATTAATGTTAATCAAGGATTAGTTGTAAACCATAGAAGTATTCATGTTTTATGAATTATACTGTGAAATAACTTGGCAATTTTGAAGCTAATAGCAGCTGAATAGTAATATAATGTCAAAGTAGTATATGAATAATGGTATGTGTCCTTTAGTGCATTTTTTGGGGTGGGGAAGTCTTCAAATTAGTGTGAATCCTAGAAATGTCTGGATGAGTTCCTGCAGTTTTCTTGACAAGATTTTCAGAAGAGATTTGCCATTGCCTTCTTCCCTTGGGTGAGAGGAAGTGAGTGGCCCAAGGCCACCCAGTGGCTGGAAGCTTGGTGACGCAGTGGCTTAAAGACGCTGGAGAAAGCCTGTGCTCTGGTAGTTCAAGTCCTAGAACTGTGTGACGGGGTGAGCTCCTTCACTTGCCTTGGCTTCTGCCAAGTTTGAGAGCCTGCTACATGCAAGTAGATAAATAAGTACCACTTCAGTGGGAAAAATAATGGCAATTCATGTGGAAGTACGAATGCAATCGATGCTGGATCTGCACGAGTGCAATGTTCGAATGCGAGGTGACATTGGTAGAGGGAAAAAGCCCTGGATGCTGCTGCTGAATGCTGTTAGCCATTCTGAGTGCATCCTCGCTCACCCCCTGTGGTGCAGTTTTAGATTGCGTATGAGCGTGAACCGAATGGACTAGCAGTCTTAGGCAGGCAAACAACTATATAGTAACACTGCATGTAGTCTCCTAGCTAATGTACCATCATCTTAAGCTAAATAAATCCTGTGACTTCGTGCCTAAGGCAGGATTAGAAGTGATAGTCTCCTGGCTTCTAGCCTGATGTCTTAACCATTCCACAAAATTGACTCTCATGCATTTAAAGTATAAGTATTTTTCTTATCCCATGAATGAGAAACACTCCTCTTCAATTTTGACTTGGTGAAATCTATGCAAGTCTGATTTTAATCATATTTATAGCTTTTTTTTATCTTGAGTGCTATACATTGGCTCATACATTAATTTCCCACAGAATAGTTGATGTATGTTTACAAAGAATCCTGTAATGAATTGAGGTGATCAGCAATAGCTTTATATTTACATACGGATAATAGTCATCCTGCAATCCTTCATTCTATTTAAAACCATCCCTTACTATTAATCTATAATACTAGATTACAGATTACTCTTCTTTAATCTGTATTATAGATTATTATACTAGATTATATACTACTATAAAGAACACAAAATGCTGTTCAATGACAAACCTTTTATATTCTTTTTAAATGCTTCATTGCATTAAAAACAGTGAACAAACAGGTTTTTATTTCTATAACTTCACATTTGGGGAAAGTATTTTATTATCTACCTTACTTAGAAGTGACCTTAAAGTTATTTCTGTTGAAAAGTAAATATTTAATTAAAAATTAAAGATGCAATGCTGTTACTGTTAGCAAGCCTTTGTGAGACAGAAAAAATAATATCCTTTGAGAAATCTTTCCTACATTTTGCTCCTCAGTTCTCTAGAAATAGTTCCTAAATTTCAGATTTAGGAACTATACATTCTAAATTTCAGTTCAGATATTTCAGACAGAATTCTGTCAAAAAGATTTGACAGAACTATTAAAAGAAATAGAATATGTAAACAAAAAATAAAGATTTTCAAAGAATGGATATTTAATCATATGTGTCATAACTTTATGTCTGTAACAAGTAGGTTCTTGGCCTTATACTTCATGATTTTCAAGCAATGTGAGGACCAAATTTTATCTAGAAAATTGCAAGAAAATAATTTTTGGATTTAAGACCATATGCAATATTATATTTCAATTTAGATAAGGAGACCTGCTAATCCTATACCATATTGTGAATTAATAATGCCTTGCTAAGTAAGATTTCATTCTGCCTTAGTTTCATCTCAACCTTGTTATAAAATTCTAATTAGGAGCGATTGATGATGCAATGACCTATGAATTCACACGATGTTCAAAATATTTGGAATCTCTTAATTATTGGTATATTTTAGTAAGTAACAGAAATACAAATTACATGAGCAAATAATATTTCAGGTCATTTGTCAATTGATGAGATATTTTTGAAAAAAATCCTTTTTAGCCAAAGGTGGCTTTCTAAAAGATGACCATAGAAGAACTTCCTGACCCTTCTGAAGAAGAAGTTTCATTGAGTAGAAGACATCAGTATTTTATCTCTGGCTCCGAAGATTCAATTACACATTCAGTCTCTGCTGCACCAATGCCTTCAGAATATGGTAAGACTATTTATAGAAGGAGATAACTTTGCAGAGCTGTTTTCAGAATCTTGAATGAGTGGAGATTGATTCCAAAGGGATGCTCGGAACTTAAAATAAAACTAATCAACATTATGTGGGAAATATTACAATTCTTTTCTTAAAATGTGCTGTATTCTAGATGTAGTGAATTATCTTTCTCAGAATAGCTTTATTATACAGTATAAACAGTGCACAACACACATCTTGGAAAATCAAGGGGGAATGCGGGGCGGTCATGCGTGTGCGTGCCCACACCCATAATTCATTGTACCCCGCACATGTGCGCGTGACCCCACTTGCGCTCCCCCCACTTTTGGCACACGATGGCATGGTAGGCCTGTTTTTTCACCCTCCCCAGGCGCCAGAGGCTTTCTTGGAGCCTGGGGAGGGTGAAAACAGCCTTCTCCACCTCCCCCCCGGAGGCTGGAAAAGACCCATTCCCAGCTTCTGGTAGGACCGGAAGACCCGAAAATCAGCTGGCCAGCGCATGCATGGTGCTGGAGCTGAGGTAGAGCAACGCTCGCATGCCCACCGATATGGCCATAGGTTCGCCATCACAGCTATAGCCCATGGTTTCTGTTTTAACTTAGTTAAACAGAAAGGTTTCTTGATTTTACTCCAGGAGGATAAATTTCTGTAAGAATGCTTATCTCTCTGTATGAAGTCTTCCTTTGTCTGCACTTGTTCACATTATGAGAAATATGACTCAGAGAAGCTACATTTTTGAAATAAGTCTGAAAATTTGTAAGTTGCATGTTTTGGTCTCCATGTCTAACAGCTTGAGAATAGACAACTCTTTTCTGTTGACAGTAATATCTAGAATAAGATTTCTCTCTATTTTGGCTATTAAATTTAGATGCTTAGACTTATAATAAATTGTCAAGTGGTTATCCTGGTAAGTTGTGGTTTTTAAGACTTTGGATATATGAAATAAAATAAATTTAAAGTAAAATTGTTATTATCTGCACAGAGTAAAAGTGAAACAGGTAATTAGTTCATTGACTAATTAAAAAGGGAAGGTGCCAAATCACAATCTTATTTCGCATCTCTGTTTGTTTAGAGAGGATAATACGAGGATTCCCTAAAATAGAAGGCGTGGACAAGATATAGATGGTGAAGGAAAAAAATAAAATTAAAAATAAGATAAAATTAAGTATAAATTGTATTGAATACCAACATCCACAAAGAAAGCAAATAAATTGCTCCTCCCGATCTCTGCATATTTATTAAATAAATGATTTAAAATAAAAGCTTTATTAACAATAGAGTACATGAACACCTACTACAGGTTTTGCTTGCTGTTCTGAAAATAAATTATGCCAAGATCTCTAATTTTATTAAAAGAAATTGCACATATATCTCAGCCACAATCTGTATCAAAGTAATTGTTCTTTAATTAATGGCAATTACCGACTCCCACTTTAAAAAAATCTTACATGTCTTGTATGCATGCTTTTAAGCTCCATATGCTTAAGTTTCCATCCAGTGGGCATATGATCAGTCAATTTTTATTATAAAAGATTTTACAAAAAATGGCACTACAAATCCAGGTTTATTTTGTATTATTTGCCATATAATTAGTATCTGAACTTTAGCAGAAGGTAAAGTGGTAAGAACAGCTAATAATTCGTTATCTGTAACAGGATACCAAGTGAGTGTGGAGTAAATTTCAGAGGATACTTTTATTTGTCCTTCTGTTAAAGATAGATTTCAAATGACATATCTCTTTGTTCTAGGAAACAATTGTTACTGTTCTGATAAAGTATTTTCCAGAACTCTGTTTTTTTTAAGTACAAATGCAGTCCATAACTAATTCTGAAATAGCTTCATGTTGTATTTTTTTTTAAAAAAAAACCAGTTACCCATCTTGTCTAGCAGACGAGCTTGTCTCTTTTATATGAGGTTCTTTTTTTGAACCATGAATTCCAAAACAACAGAGAATTCTTTTGTTGTCAGAGAGGACTAAATATGGTCTAGTATTTTTTATCAGTGCTCTGAAAGCTTCCAGTATTAATAGTCTACTTTAAAAATATTAGAGATTCAGATGTTTAAAGCCATTCAGTACTGGTTTAGCTAACTGATCATTGCAGGGACATTTTTTTTATTTTAAAATTTATATAGCACTCAACCTGCAGAAATGTGACTTTGACTCTGTTTTGCAGTCTTTATTTCAATATTTATAGGCTTAATATATAGAATGCCAAGACAGCCAGTTCCATAGATGCTTCCTATTAATAGATTCATGCTTAAAAATGAAAAAAACAAGTGCTTGACATTGAATCCAAGAGTGAAGGAATCTAAAATGCTCTTCTAAAATCTCTTCTCCTATTTTTCTTTCTGCATAGTTAAAATTGTTTGAAGAGAGTAATTTATCCTACTTCAGATAAATGATATCTCAGGTACAGTTATTGTTCTTTAGTTTAAAACACTCCTCCCTCCTCCCTCACATTCATCCTCTTTAGGGGGGAACTTTTCACAATAGTAATTTGGTCAAAAGTATTTTCCTACTGCACAGTAACTTACCAGTATTTTTCTATTTTGCACTCTGAAGTCTATGTCACCACCTAAAGAATTCCACTACAGTCTGCAAACACTGATGATTCTTTAGGGATTTTATTTGAATCTCAATAAAATTCTAGTGATATTTTTGAATATCAATAAAACTATAACAGGCATTTCCAGGAAAATTCTAGTGCATGCATTTAATCTTATACTCCTAAATGGTTTTTTTTTTTTGTATATTTAATTTGTATTAAGAATTTTACTTGGCAATGGAAAAATCTAATGTAAACTAAAAGGAAGTAAAATAGAAAATAAATGGTGCAAAGGAGAAGAAAAAACATAGAAAATAAAAATATAGCAATGAAAGACAAAAGCCATATATAAAGAAATGGCTTCCAATCATCATAATAAATATAATCTATTTTTGTAACTCTTCAACCCCTCCTAGTTTACAAACAATGATCTCTTGATCCAATATCCCATCTCTTACAGAGAAGTCCATAAAACATAATATTTTTATCATGTCAGCAGAAAATCCATTACCAGAAATAATAACTTATTTTATTTTAACCTTGATCAAATAAAACAAGTTTATATTCATTGCTTTTAATTTTGATAATTTTAATCTTTAATCCTTTGAAATGCCATAGAATTTACTCTTTTCATTTTTTCTTTTTCCCTTCTGATGAGATTCTTCAAAGCTTTAAGAAGCTTCTTTTGTAAATCCAATATAAAAGAATTATCCAAGTAACTTATGGTTTATTATTTGTATTTCCCTTTTGATTTTTAAATATCAACCCATTTCTTATATATATGCAGCAAAACATCCTTTATCATGTCATTCTCATAACCTGTCATTTGTATATCTACTTTAAGTGCCATCTCGTCAAATAAAATATGTTACTCCTTAATAGTATTTCTGGGTTAAGAAGGAAGATTTTCTATAGCAAAATATGAAAGGGTAGTACCCTGAGACTGCCACATTTAAATAAATAATAAAATTGTAAATGAAACATGAAAATTGTAAAAAAATACTCTGTGGAATATTCAATCTCATCAAATTAGAGAATCCCTTATTGATTACATAGTAAAATATTTTCCAATCTTGGATTGTCCAAATTTATTTATTTATTTATTTATTTAATCTAATTTTTATACCGCCCTTCTCCCGAAGGACTCAGGGCGGTGCACAGCCAAAGATAAAACAAACACATATATAAAATTTAAAAACAATTTAAAAACATATTAAATAATTTGGCCCCAACATCATTCAAAAACAAAAGCAACCCATTAAAATTAATGTTTAGGCCAGCCCAGCTTGTTGAAACAATAACGTCTTGAGGGCACGGCGAAAGGTGCGTAGGTCAGGGATCATCCGTATCTCCAGGGGCAATTCATTCCAGAGGGCGGGTGCCCCCACAGAGAAGGCTCTCCCCCTGGGGGTTGCCAGTCGACATTGTTTGACCGACGGTACCCTGAGGAGTCCCTCTCTGTGGGAGCGTACTGGCCGGTGGGAGGCTATTGGTAGCAGAAGGTGATCTCGTAAGTACCCAGGTCCTAAGCCATGGAGCGCTGTAAAGATGGTAACCATCTTTACATGCTTTACATGCTTTACATTTGAACACTGTATGTTTAGCTAGCATTTTCAGGCCACTAGGTGGTGAAGGTTTGTTAAGTTGTATGAAACTTGACTAATAGTGTTTTTTAAAATCTTTCTGAATATTTTTAGCAACTAAATTTTTCTTTCATTTTTTCATTCCTGTAGAATTCTCTTTTTTCGATCCAAATGATACAGCATGCCAGGAAATTCTTTTCAATCCCAAAACTTCTGTATCTGAATTATTTGCTATTTTAAGACAGTGGGTTCCCCAAGTTCAGCAAAACATTGATGTGATAGGAAATGAGGTGAGGCATTTATTGATTTCCTGAATTTATCTATAAATTTTTATGTTATGCCCTCATTTAATATATGGGAATATTTGTTTAATTTTTGTTTATAATTCATTGTTAACAAATATGTCTTTACATCTGCATTCTTATTAAGTAGAAATTTAAGTAAATTTTCATGATCTGCTAAGAGCAAAAACCTTCGTAAAAAGTGCATTAAGTGCTATATATCTTTTGGGGTTTACATGATTTTGGCAAGTTTTTTTTATTTAAGTAACTATAATACTAAGTGAACTGATGAAATGCAAATTGGTAATCACATGATCCCAGATATTTATGTCACCGTTGCTGTGAAATGTATCAGCTAATTCCTTTGGCAGTAAAAATAATTTGTTACCAGGTATCACTATAAGAGTGATATATATTTTACCTTCCAGGAAATAGGAATTGCTGCATCAGAATCATAAATGATATATTTTTCAAAAACAGGTCATTAAGAGAGGCTGTAACGTGAATGACAGAGATGGCTTGACTGATATGACTCTCTTGCACTATACTTGCAAGTCAGGAGCTCATGGAATTGGTAAGAAAAGGAATTGGAAATTTTCTGTGGCTAGTTTTGCCAGCAGGAATAGTAGTTGTCCTTCCAAACTTTCTCCAGGTATATTGGTTATGCCAATAGAGAGAGGAATGAAGTGTCATTCCTCTTCAAATCATCTACCTGTAATATTCTAATATATTAGAAATTCTATATCCCTCTGTGTCCAAAATTCTACCAACTTGAACAGTTTGGAACTTCTGCAGCAGTTTCCTCACCTTCAGTGAATTCTATTCACAAGCTACATATCTTCCCGAGCACCCCAAAAATCATTTTACTGAATTTCTGAATCTTTCCTCCCACCGGCCAAAGTGATGCCCCTTGGTAACATAACATCACTTCCTGTAAAACTTTGTATAGATGATAAGTTAGGTTGTTCTGATACCTCAAATAGCACTTTAAAACTCATGGAGTGGCCGTATTTACTATACGTAATCACCAAATTTGTATGCTGCCCTTTCTCTCCAAACTTTCTAAATGGAATTGTTGCTAAACTGAAATAATTGTATTACCTTTTCTATTTTCCTATTGTTCTGTAGCCTTGTAACCTCCAATACAGCAACAATTTAAAATTAATGGGGTGGAAACAGACAGAAACTTTATACTTTATCATTTGAAAATCCTAGGAACTAATAGAATTACATGTTAGTACATGGTACAGATGAAATAATGTAAAATAATTTAACAGTTGAATTAAATAGTTTTAGTCCTAATTGCTATGTATAAATAAAACAATAGTATTATTCCACTGAAGTCATATCATAGGTATAATTTCAGTAATATTTTGGTCAGATTTCTTTTAGCATTGCTGTATTAATTATGGAACTCACTCTACCATTGGTTAAGTTATCCATTAGCTCTCTGTCCTCATGATCTAAAATAATAACATGTGATGTTTAAGCTATCATTATCAGCAGCAGCAGCAGCACCACCACCACCACCACCACCACCACCGTTATTTCAGCATTTGTGCAAGGAAGGAACTGTTGTTACTTGAACATCTATTCCTCTTGTATGAGATGCAGAGGATCCTGCAGTATTTCTGCTGTCCTAAAACAGAAACAGTCAACACAATTTAACTCAAATCCAGACATTGAAAGTTGCATGGCATATCATAAAATATATTTTTCTACGGAAAATAAGACAAAACTCAAGCATCTTTTTGCTGTATGTATCTGTAGAACAAGTTTCCCCAATTTGATTCTCTCCAGATGTATTGAAATAGCAGTTTTCATGCTATTGCTCTGAGCATCCAGAGAAAAAGGCTATATACAAAGTACTAGGAAACTTTTCTGAGTTTTTTCTTCATTGTTGACGTAGTTATAGTCTGGCTAACTTTCAAACTCTGGTAAGGAAACATTTTATAAGGACTGGCTATATGGAAACTTGCCAATGTCTTTTGGACATAGTCTTCTGTTAGCTAGTATGTTGTGAAAATCTATCAAGAACCAACTAAACTACATATAAGCTATGTTTTCAAACTATTTGCTTTGCAGGAGATGTGAAAACAGCAGCAAAATTTGCCTCTCAACTTATTGAGTTGGGTGCAGATATCAATTTGAGGAGTCGCTGGACAAATATGAATGCTCTCCACTATGCTTCCTATTTTGATGTTCCAGAACTCATTACTATCATTTTGAAAAATGCAAAACCAAAAGGTAAATCTCACCAGATGTAATACCAATAAATAAAACGTTCCTTTCCCTTATCAGTAAGACTATTCCCAAGTTGATGTTTCCCTGAATATGAGGACTATTTAAAAACATGGACAAAGATACATACTGTAATGTGATAACAATGTTGGCTAAAGACTCCAAATAATCACACATTAATTAATTACTCATTTTAGCTGCAGTATGTATTAATTATTTGCCTGCCTGCCTGCCTGCCTGCCTGCCTGCCTGCCTGCCTGCCTGCCTGCCTGCCTGCCTGCCTATCTATCTATCTATCTATCTATCTATCTATCTATCTATCTACCTACCTACCTACCTACCTACCTACCTACCTACCTACCTTGTATTCATGGTTTCTGTCTATGTTGTTACTGGCAACTGGAGGATGTAGAAAGGTAAAGAGAAATGTTTTGCCCCTACAGTGTTTAGATAGACAGCCACAGCACTGATATTTACCATCGTTGTGTCCACCTGAAAAGATCTATGATTTTTTAAAAGTGATGTAATTTAACTCTAAAATATACAGTATATCCTACAGTAAGTATTGAAAGTAATAGTAGAAATTTTATATATATATTTTATCAATACCTATAAATTGCACACATATTTTCCATACTGAAGTTCTGAATTTCTGTTTACTCTGTCAGTTCCTAAAATTCCATATCAATTGCAACTATTTTAGTGGAAACTTTGAATTGCCATATACTTGAATTTTTTGGTGTTATACATATATATTACATTGTAGGTTATGAGATCAATCAATAACAAAGCAACTGGGCTAAAATGGTATTTATTTCAGAAATTATGGCTCTGAACATTCATTAGTTAGAAAAGATGGAAGATAGTATGTGGCCTTCCTCTGATGTAGATTCTTCAGAGAGAGCCTGAGTGGCGCAGCAGACTAATGCTACTGTTAAAGGTAGTATTTAGCTTCCAGCTGCCTGCAATTACTGCGAGTTCAATTCTCACCAGGCTCAAGGTTGACTCAGCCTTCCATCCTTTCTAAGATAGGTAAAATGAGGACCTGGTTTGTGGGGGCAATAAGCTGAATTTGTATAAAATATACAAAAATATGAAGGCTATTGCTTAACGCATTGTAAGCCGCCCTGAGTCTCCAGAGAAGGGCGGCATATAAATCAAAAATAAAATAAAATAAAATAAAATTTGAAATGGATCTAATTATGTGCAATATATTATTGTTTTGAAAATTATATCCATCTTTGTTTCTTAATAACAAATGACAACTCATCTTCCCTTCCTCAAGATGTCTGTTTTTAATGCTTACGCTCTATGGAGTTGTCATAGGCAGGTGATGTAGAACATGCTGATATCACATATTTTTAGTTTATTTATTTATTTAAAACATTTTCTTTAAGAAGCTCAATCATCCTCCACACCCCTTTTTATTTTCATAATATTGGTTTATGGAAAATAGGAATTAATGACTGCTTTCTGATCATTTTATGAGGTTTCATGTCAATTTTGTTTTTTTTTTCATCACTTAACATTATGAAAAATTAATATATTCATAATTTTTTACTTTGGGTTTCAGCTTGATGCAGTGTGAATTAGAACAGATGGAACAGGCTACTCCTTTCTACTTTTTTATTTCTGTTTCTTTTATTCCCAAATGTATTTTTCTCCTTCAAAATTTCTCAGAATTTCTAGCATACTGATAAATCCAGGTTTTTCTTTTCAATAGTGCAATGATTTATATTACCAGTTTCTTGTAGCACATTTTTTTTTAGTGATGTGGATGATAAGGAGTAAGCTCTTCACTTGTCCAGTAAATCATTAGAACTTCTTTCTCTCTCCTCAAACATATCAGTTGACAGCATAAGATTAGCTATATTGTAAGAGGCAGAGAGTGTGAATAAGTTACATGATGGCAATCACATGAAACAGTATATTCCCTGTGAGCCCAGGTTCATGGTGTTTGATAAGATTAATTTTTTTTATAAAGCCTTCGTGTTTTCTTGGAAGGGAGGGTTGGTTCATAGAGGATGGCTTTGAGCAGATTCTTAACTGATGTCAGCACTTTGAAACAACATGGTTGTTACATAAAGTTAACAGCCATGAGGGCTTCCAGTAACAGGTAGTGTTTTCTCTGATGCTAAAATATTTGCTGCACTTTATTCCAGATATTTTTCTTTTGTCTAAAGAAAAGGAGACATATTTATGTAACATTGAAAGAGAGGTTTACTTGTTTGGTTTCCAAAAGATTTAACGAAGGAAAATAAAATCTGGAAGAAATTTCAACAATCTGTTTTATTTGGCTCCCGGCATTCATTTGAATTAATCCAAATGTTTTATCTATAAATAGAATGCAATTAAGCTTGTGAAGTAGCATTTCTCTTTTCTAATCAAACCATTGAAGTGCATTTGTTGGAACTCAAGTTGATCCAGAAACCTAGAGTTCTTATACAGATAGTCCTCAACTGACAGCCATTCATTTAGTAATAGTTTGAAATTACAACAGCACTGAAAAAAGTTACTTATGGCCATCTTTTTTATTCAAGTTTTTTATTTTTAAATGTATACAAGTGTTAAATACATGAACAGTGTGGTTTCTGGGTGTTAATTTTGATACCAAATAATAATAATAAAATTGACAATTTTGATTACCTTGCATTAATCATACTCGCATCTTTCTAGTAACATTATTCATAATACAGTCATTTTTCCAATTTCTTATCCTTTCATCTACCTGCTGATTTTAACATGTTATATAACAATATTTATTGTAGTATTTCCCCCTTTCTAATTTCTACCTTTATTTCATATCTTGATGACACCAATCTTATATTAATAAGTTTTCTATTTCTATCTTTCATCTCTTATCCATTTTAATTATATTAATTACATTAAACATACTCATGTCATTATCATAACATTATATACTTGCAATTAAAGTTGTTAACATTGTAATATTTGCTCCACCTTGTATTTAATCCCTCATCATTTAATTCTTTAATATTATATTATATTACTCAGTGCTAATAACCATGGTAACCTTAATAACATTGTTTAAAGATATATAATACAATCATCTTTCAGCTTCTGATCCTTTCGTCTACATACTAATTTTAAAATATATAGTAGTATAAATATTTTCCCTCTTTCTAATTCCTACCTCTATTCTAAATCTTGATAACACATATCTTATATTGGTGAATATTCTATTTCTACCCGTTATCTCTCATTCGTTTTAGTATTTCAATTCTTATTGATTTTTGGCATGCTTTCCATACTCCTCCTTTAAAGCTTTGTGTCTCCCTATATCGTTCTTTCTTGGTTTAAGTAGTCTCTCTTCTACCTCTGCCTCTCGCTGCCAGATCTTCACTATGCCTATGAGTGTCTCTGTCCTCACTTCAAGGGTGTCTTTCCGCTTATCCAATTCTTTTTTCAAGTCTTTAAATATATTGTCAGCTTGATCTGTTTCATCTGTTTTGATTATCGCTTCCTTCTCCTTACCTTTTGGGTTCATTTGTTGTTTTGTCTGCTCTTTTCCTTACTCTGTTTTTTCTATTCTCTCCTCTGTTTCCTGGGTTTCCTGTTCATTTTTCATTGTTATTTGCTGAACATTTTCTAGTCTTACATCTATATTATACATCAAATCCTATATATCACCCATGCGCCATACAATCCCCCTCCCAGTTTCCCACAGTAGTAAATGTGGCAGGCCTGAAGGCCCAATGCAAAAGATGGCTTCTAGGCTTGACACTTTGTTATAGTTTCATAGATACTTTGAAACATCAATGGCATTACTTTTTGAAACATGCTTGTTATTTCCTGTTGAGGCATTTTATCTTATTTTAATAAATCCAAAGTTACAAATCTATCAAAATCCCACACTCTTAATTGTCTGTAACATCAAAAAGCCAATCTTAAAACTATTCACTCAGTCCCAGAGTCATTCCTCGAAGTATGCAGTATTTATAATTTTTTATAGTCCTCCACCAGTCAGTTTACTCCTTCCAGATTTTTCCTTGTTTTCATCTGCCACCTAACCAACTCTTTGATTCCAATAATTGTTCCAAGTGTTTGTAAACCACTCTATTTAGCAATCTTCAAAAATCTCAAATTTTTTTCCTTCTTAGTCATGAAACAAATAGGTGTCAGACCATGTACAGCAAAAGAAAAAAAAGAACACAGTCTCCAGGTGTGTTTATCTCCACTCAGTATAGATTATTCCAAGGACATCCCAGCCTTGTAAAAATATAGTGTATTTCCTTTCTTTCACCAGTAGAGGGTATCATCGCCTAAGATTTCAATGTAGCATCCAATCTGACAGCGTTAATTTCTTCAAATAAATTTCTTTCACTTCCCCCCAATTTTCAGCCTGATGTTTCCAGCATTCTTAAATGCCTTTTCAAAATGTTGCCAATAAAATGTTCAAATCCAGTCCTTCTGTAGTTTAAAAATTATATCCTCTCTTAAGTTTCATTTTCTTTCGAGTCTGTAATCTTTAAGTAATTATTAGCTGCTTTAAACATTTTGGAGAGTTATCTTTTTGGAGTTTCTTTTATTTAGGGTTAATCTCTATTAAAAAAGTTGACAATCATCTCACCCAGCTCCAGTCTACTATTCAAACACTGCTCCAGCACATTTCTTTCTTTGGTTGTCCCAGCTTCCCGGTGGCCATAATGGCCGCCTCTCTTTCCTCATTGTTGGATAGGAGAGTGAGCTTTGGATCAAGCAGGAGAGTTGCCATTCTCCGCGATCTGCAAGGCGTCCCTTTTTTCTTCGTCCCCCCCTACGAGATAACTAGCCCTTTAACCCCCCCCCCATGAGAGTTCGCGGAGCCCCACTCCCTATGACTGTGCCATAGCGACGCCAAACCGGAAGTCATTTATGGCCATTTTTTTAATGCAAAATCCCCGTTGCAGCATCCCCGTGGTCATGTGATCAAAATTCAGACATGTGGCAACTGGCATGTATTTATGACAGTTACAGTGTCCCAGGGTCATGTGATCCACCTTTTGCAACCCTCTGACAAAGTCAGTGGGGAAGCCAGATTCATTTAACAACCAAATTACTAACTTAACAACTGCATTGATTCACTTAACAACTGTGACGGGAAAGGTTGTAAAATTGGGCAAAACTAACTTAACCAACTGCCTCGCTTATCAACAGAAATTTTGGGCTCAATTGTGGTCGTAGGTCAAGAACTACCTTTAGTTTCCTTACACATAAGTTTTAACTGTGCAGAATGTCTGATAAATGTCATCAGAATAAAGTTTATTCAGATGTCTTGCATTTTTAAAAATGCTTTCATAATGGCATATAGCTTGGAAGGCAGGTTGCAGATGTGAGAGTTGACATTTGAAAATATAGAGAAATAATCCTTGGATTCCTTTGCCATATTCTTGCTGTTTTGCAGTCTCAAATATTGTCAACAAAATTTGGAAGTTGAATAGTGGCAGAAGCAAACTAAATTGCTCACCCGTATTAGAAGTTTAATCATTATAATACTGCAGTTGCTGTATTGTGCAAATTCATCCTATCATATTAGAAATTTAATAATTATAATTTGGCAGTTGCTGCATTGTGCAGATTCACCCTTAAAACCTTCTTTCAGTTGTTTCAAATGTATGTTTAGTTTTACCCATGAGGTGTTAAAACTAGCTTTGCTCCCTTTTATTCGTGTTTATTCTGTCTTTAAATAGAGAGGATACATGTGCAACAGAGAGCTTCCTTTATAGACTTTATGTTTAATTTTCAGAGTTAAATTATCCAAACAATCAGGAAAGAATTTGTATCTGCCTTTAACAAAAATTGTGAATTGTAAACAGCTTATGTATGCACAGATAACACTTTGTGTGGATTGACCAATGTGAACTTGAAGTACAAATATGCACACAGACAAATGGAGAAAGATTTCAAAGTACTTCTGCCTAGTTTTCTGGAGATCAGAACTGATCTGACACTTTGAGGAGGAATGTTTTGCTTATATCAATCACTTTGTAAAAAATCCCTTTCTAATGTTCTGTATAGACTTAATAGGTAGAAATACTAAAAATTCTGATTATTCCCAGGACAACTTTAAGTCTGGTGTAGACCAGTCCTTTAAAATATACGTACATAAATATAAAGTGATGAACAAATCATTAACACTAAAAATGAGAAAGCAAGCCACACCAAAACAAAATAAAACAAAAGAATTTGGTAGGATATATTTTTAATATTTTAGGAGAGGGGTTGTTTTAAAAAATGTTAAATGTCCATATACAATATTTCCATCCCCCATAAATCTGTATAAATCCAAGTAATGTAATAAGAGCTCTTTTGTCATAATTAAAAAGGAGCAAATATATGGTAAATAAAGCAATCAAAATAAAATATTGGAAAATATGATTATTAGAAATCAACATGATTGTCAATTAGCCTCTATTTTTAACTGTGCAACTTCCATACTAGTGCTGTAGTTATAATAAATGTTGATTCTTTAAACCATTTGACAAAGTTTTCTATGACAGTTTGATTGCCAGCCAGTTAAGAATATACTGAATGGGATAACAATTAAATGGATGGATATTTTGTTTGACAATCAGATGAGGAAATGTACCATTTGTCAAGTTCAAGCATAGATGTCATGTTGATGAAATCTAAGGCCTATTTACTGCCATACCTGGAGACATGGCATGGATACAAAGTTTTTCCAAGAAAGCAGTTTCCAATTGAAAGAAAAGTTTTCTAAAGGAAGTACAGTTTGGCAATAAAAGGAATAATCCTGAGATGTCGTGAGCTCCCTTCCATTGGTTGTGTTTTGGTAGAGCCTAGATTTCTCTTTTTGATAGATGCTTGAATTTGGATTCCTGTATAGAGTAAGGAATTGACTTGATTCTATGATTTATTCAATTTCTTGTCTGATTTGTTAATTTTTCAGCCTCTTCACACTTATTCCCTGGCCTAATTAAACATAATGTGGGAACAGGGCCAATAAATAGTTCTCGGGTATTTTTAAGGATCAATTCTTACTTTGCTTTTAGAAAAATAGCAATGGGAGGGGAGATGGAGTTTAACAGGGCTTCCTTCCCTCAAAGGTTCTGCTAAAATTTCCCCTTCAACTTGACCTTTCTTTTGCCGTTTTTCTTGCTCTCACTTGTTACTATTGCTGATGTTGAATTCTCATATCCCAGCTTCTCATGTCCCAGTGTTTTTAGATCGTCTAAAAGTTGCTATTTATTAATCTGACACATGAATTGTATTCAAGCAAATTGATATTGCCTCTCTTATTGCTAAAAAGTCAATTTGGAAAGCAATAGTTGCATATAAATTTAATAAATAAAAAAATACCATTGGCTTTGTTTAGTGGGTGACTGACTGTTTGACCTCTCTATCTTGATTTTGAATTCTATTGGATTTATTTAATGTTGACTTAGGAATTGTATTTGCCCATAGTATGTCATTAAGGATAAAAACAGCATTGATATTTTCCTATATATCCACATATCAACTTGGTTCTTACTTGTAGATGTTGATGCCACTTGCAGTGACTTTGATTTTGGAACTGCCTTGCATATTGCTGCCTTCAACCTATGTACTGGAGCTGCAAAGTGTCTACTAGAACACGGCGCTAACCCTGCTTTTAGGGTGAGATGTTGATTTTACCAAATATTTATTTTATCTAACTGAATCTGAATTACAATGATCGTTTAAAAATGCTTTGCAGTTTATTTTTATACTGGAAACATAAAAAATGCACAGGAAAATATGTGTAAATTATATTGGTACTTCTGTTTATCTTTAGATCTTTTTGTAAATTATTTGAAATTTGTTGATCCTGGCAATGGAAGTTTAAGATTAGTTGTGTTTGATGATGATGATGTTTAGTTTAGTTATTTAATAGTTGTTAATGTGCTAATAGCTCTGTTTTGATTTGGATCAATACTGTGTCTGAATTCACTGTTTTGTTTTGGTGGTTATTTCACAGAATGACAAAGGGCAGACACCCGCTGATGTGGTTCCTGATCCAGTAGATATGCCATTGGAAATGGCTGATGCAGCAGCCAGCGCTAAAGAAATCAAACAGATGCTTTTAGATGCGGTACCTCTGGTTTGCAATCTTTCCAATATAATGCTTCCAAATTATGATAATATCACTGGAAAAGACATGCTTGAATCCCTTGGTCTAAAACTGGGAGATCGAGTTGTCATTGCAGGACAGAAGGTATGTTTAATAAGCAAATTGTGAAAAAAAAATTAACTGGATTGAAAATGTTTCTGGGTTGATATGTAGGGCTGTTAATCACAATGAGCTGAATGATTCTCCTTGTAATTCTGTCACATCAGCTAGTAACATTTAATTTTTTTAAAGGAGATCTGTAACTGGCTCACTTGGATACATTATGCAAAAATTGTATCATCCTTGCCCACCTAAGGAATATGCACCTGTTCTCTGTCCTGAACTAGCAAACATAGTACCGGGTTGATTGCCAGTTTCATAAAACTGCACTACACTTTGCACTTTAAAATAAATGTTGCAAACTTTTATTGATCCATATGTTGCTTCTATTAACTTGATCCATTTTAATTTTTAATAAATGTAAATTGTGCTTCATTATGGCAAATGTAAATAATGTCTTCATCAAAAGAATTGATGCAAATATAGTTTGGAAAGCAAACAGCTATGAATAGAAATACAGTATCTGTAACTTCATAGAACTGTCAGTTTTCTGATGTATTAGAAGATTAGATATCTCATAGCTACCCTAGTTGCTATTTCTAGACACTGCTCAAAGCAAATTAATTCTTAGCTTTTAATAAAGTGTAAAGCATAAAGCACAATGGTTTAAATAAAAGTTTTGAAACAAGTTAATTTTTTTAAGTAGAACTGAATTAAAACTCAATTTTTTAATCAATAAGATAATAGGAAGTTTTGGTTAAATGTTATAATTTAGCATGTTTGATAGTAATGCAATTTTATTTAGTGACCAACAAATAATTTGAAATTGGTAGTTTGCATGTTAAAATTTTGTATAAATATGCTGTATTAAGCAAATACGTTTATCTGAGCCAAAGTTAGCATTTTGAGAATTTTAATATTTGCTTCAAACATAAAAAAAAATATTTTGGCAATGGTTTGCTCTCCAAGCTTGTTTCAATTTAGTTTCTGAACATTTCGTTATCAGACTAGGTAACATCATCAGTAGGATTTTCTTGTCCTATTCTTCTAGCTTATAAATGTCTTGTGTTCCAGTGTGGTCAGTTGGTCGTGTGATTGGTTGTTCGTTTGTAGCTATATTTAAATTCCGAATAGCTGATTGGTTCTCTTGTTGATTGGTTGTTCGAATGGTCTGGTTTCTTATGTATTCATATGCTGGATCTAGATCAATATGCTTGTTAATTGCTCCTTTTGTAGAATACCAGGCATCAATAAGTTTATGTATGCGGCAGGTGTTGGCATGGTCAATGATTTTTGTTCCTTCCCAATCGAACAGGTGTTGTTTATTATCAATGTAGTTTGATATCAGATACAATGTATGTATGTATGTATGTATGTATGTATGTATGTATGTATGTATGATACTATTAGATATTGTATAGTTTAGTTATAGGGTCATAAAATTGGAATAGTTTAACTGTGTGTTCGTTCTGAAGAATATGTATGTTAACCTTCAAAATCATTTTTCCAAGATGACTTGCAACACATTTAAATAATAAAATTAAAGTTGAAATAGTAATTAAATTGCACAAGCTATACTAATAAAATGCATGATGATATAAACACTGACAATTAAAAACAAGTGACAATTAAAAACAGAAAAGTGTTTGCATTTGTTATACCTGTTTAATATTAAAACATCAATTCATTAAAATGTGGGAGAGTAAAAATGTATTTCTTAGTTGTTGAGAAGACAATATTGGTTTCATCCCTAGGGAAGGTAACCCAGAGTTGGGCAGGAACCATTGAAAAGGCCAGTCCCGCTTACCAATCCTCTGTATTTATTTATTTAGTCTGCCTATATCCTGAATTTCTGTCTGTAAAATTAAATATGATAATTAAGATATAAATAGGACACAAGCTGGAAGAGACATTATTTCAATTACTGTAATAGCAAGTTCTGAAAGGTTTTTCTAAGTGAAGAACTTTCTAGAATTAAAAATGAAATTGAGAGCCAGTGAAGATTGTATGCAATTGGCATACTATGTTCATTATACTTAAATCCAGTCAGCATTCTCACTGCAGTAATTAACTGAACTGTCTTCAAGGATAATCATATGTATGAATACATTCAAATAATCAAACTGACAAATTACCAGGATGTGGATTGAGGTAGCAAGCTCTGTCCAAGTAGGTTTGTAATTGGTGCACAATCTCAAGTAATAAGAAATTTCATTCCACTGAAGATACTTGTGCCTCTAGTCCATAGTTAGATTTTGTGGCAAATATGTTTTTTTCTCCTCGAAGTGTCTAAACAGATTTCAGCTTGTTCTGAACCAGATTCCAGAAGACTCTGAATCATTTGGAAAGGCTCTAATGGCCATCATTGAGAGGACTTGGTAATGGAGGAGAAGAGATTGCTTCTTCATCATTGTCATTAAAAGGCATGATGGATATTGGATCAAATTTAATATTAGTTTTCTGTCATCTGTGTTCTAGTTGTCTTCCACTTCTTTCATAGTCTTCAGCTGAAATGTATAATAAGCCTAAATGGGGTGCTGCATAATGGTAGAGGATATCCACAAGTGATCATGTGAACTACCCAAGTCATGCTAACCAAAGGGTAAACTAAGATTTTAAAAAGAGCATCCATCACTATTCTACCCTTTTCTAGAATCCATCATAAACAATTATTTCTCAGTTTGGATAATTCTAATTAGTACTTCAGCTCTGCAGAGAGGAAGTGATTGCAAGCATAAATTAGAAATGTTCTCACCATGACAAGGAACAGATTTAAATCCCCCTGGTTCAGACCATTGTTCTGTCCAATACATCTGAGCATCTATTACCTGGGTTAAACAGTGATAAGTTGGGCAGAACCATGTCTAATATGGCTATCACAAAATCTTGAGGAGCTGCAATCATGGCTGTCCTGGATAATGAATTCCTCCAGAACTGTTATTCTGGAAGACCTCAAGATCAAGTCCAAAACCATATCTGTCTGTTTAGTCGGGGAGAGTGCTGAGTAGCAAAGTAGGTGGTTCTCTGACACAATTCCTGTACTATCCTTAGTACATAATATTCAGTCAGATACTCTAGATTGGCACTGCACAAGCAGCAAGTCTGAAACAAGAATATTTCTTTATCCTTTAATTGCTCCCTCTTCTCATCTCTGATCTATTTGGGGCTGCAATAAGGACTAAGGCTATCCCAGACATGTGCAGAACAGCTGTCTGATCCAAGTTAAAATGGTACAAACCAGATTGAACCTTATTCATAATTAAATAACCAATGAGAGAGATCTTATTCACCGATCCACCATTTAAGAATTGCACCTGCACTGCAGGCCAGAGGATGGTGCAGTATGGTTACCATACTTTGAATGGGGAGAACCAGAATCCCTGTAAAAAAGTCAGGTGTTCAATTCCGTTCTTTGGTTGTTATTTCCAAGAGCTACACTTCCCTGGACCCATAATAGCCCTTAGTTGGGGACCTCCTCCCTTCTGTGGCATTAGGAGAAGACTATCTCAGATTCATAAAACTAAGCAGCAGAGGAGGTAATAAAAGTGGCATTTAACCACATTCTGACTCGAAGAGGCTTTCCGCACATTGCACTCTCAGTTCTGCAGAAGTCAATCGACCACCTGCTTTGGGCCTGGAAAAGATACTTTACCTGCTGTTTCAGAGGCCCTCACAGCCTGGTAATTACTGTACAGCCTTCAGGAGGATGGAACTTTATTCACTCGGGCTTTAAAATGAAAGATAGAAGTTGCTTTTGGAATAGCTGCTGGTTGAAGGAAATGGAGCATGGAGAGATTCCCACTTGAAGGTTTTTCTTAAGAAAATTAGCAGCACTTGCAGGCAGGGCAGAAGGAAATGGTGCTTTCATTTTAAATTCTGGAATTGGGAGAAGAGCAGCACAGGCATGACTCTTTTGCCTTGTTACATCGCTTTTTCTCTTTACAGTATTTTGATACAAGCTTTAAACATAATGGATGTAGGTAAGCTTTAAAATCAAGAGGACAATGCAAGCAGGGGGTGGAAGGAATAGAAACAAAGACAGAGGAAACAACTTGGTGAGCATGCTGTGGACCTAATAGTAAAAAAAGCAGAGAAGGAAATAATAGAGGGACAAGAAGAAAGAAAATATGGAGACATACTTGTCCTTTCCTAAATCCCAAATTGGCCATGAGTAAAACAAGAGAATATAAAAAGAGATTTTTTGTTCTTAGAGGTGCATTAGAATAAAATGTCATAGTATAGTTGTATAAAATGTAAAAGACAAAAATAAAAAAAAATCCCATAATATTTTCTCATCTCTGCTTAAGAACTGCTAAAAATAAAATAAAATAATAAAATAAAATACCGTATTTTTTGGAGTATAAGATGCTCAGGACTATAAAACGCACCTACCTTTTTTAGGGAGGAAAAGAAGATATACGCTAGTGTATGGATATGGGAAATAATATGAAATTTTACCAGTTTGGAACTGTTTTAAGTTTTTTTCTTTGCGTAGATTGGTATTGTAATCAGAATCAATAAATTGTTCAGCACGCAATCTGTTAGCTGTAAAGTTTTTCTTCCTCTCTCTTTATTTTCCTTCAGGTAACATTTTAATTAAGTTAGTGAAATGCTTTTTAAATTCCAACTAATTGTTGATTCTAGACAGAAATTTTACAACAAAAGGACACAAAGGAGAAAATAAGTCCATAAATAACTCTGCCTCTGCCTCCCAGTTTGCCTCATTGCAGCAAACAGCCTGCTTTAATTTCATTTTCATTTTCAGCACAAGAAGAAAAAATCTGCCTCCCAGCAATTTGCCTGCTTGCAGCAAGCAGCGGAGGCCTGCGTGGAAATAGGCAACGGCAATCCCAGCAGCCTGAAACAGCTGAGGGTCGGGAGGCCGATCCAACTGACAATCAACCGCTTGTGCTAATCAGGTTGTGCTGAAGCTGAAATGGGCTGTTTTGCTGTTTGTTGCTTGCTGCAAGGAGGTAAATTGCTGGGAGGCAGAGGCCAAACAGTGGGGGCCGGTGGGTGGGCGGGGCTACATTTGGAGTATAAGACACACCCACATTTTTGCCCTCTTTTAGGGGAGGGTGTCTTATACTCCGTAAAATACGATAAATAAAATACCATTCCTCTGGGTGATGGTTTCATCGTCGAGCCACACTTCCTTTCAAGAAGTTTCTCCTGTTCAAAAGGAAATCTATTCTATCAATGTGCTGTGTGGAAGAGCTCATATATAATACTTTATATAAGATTGGGACTGTTCCTCTGCCTATATAGTCTTCAGTGAAGGAGCCTTCAGTTCCTGTGTTGGAGTAAAGAACAATGGAGAATAACACATTCAGCTTTTTCTTTGAATAATTTCAAAGAATAATTTCAGAACATAATATTCTGTTATCACTTTCAGATGTGGTCACTTCAGCTTTCAACCTAGTTAAAAATATATATATTTTTTCCAGATTGGCATATTACGATTTTGTGGCATGACAGAATTTGCCAGTGGGCAGTGGGCTGGTATAGAATTGGATGAACCTGATGGCAAAAACAATGGTACTGTTGGAAAAGTGCAGTACTTCAAGTGCACTCCAAAACATGGTATTGCTTTTAATTTTTAAACTTCTTCATATTTCTCTCATATTAAGCCATTTTTTCATTTGTCTAATATTATTTGAGTCTGTCATTGAAAATTATCCAACTAAGTACTTTAGTTTGCTTACTCTGCATGCCAGTGTTGTAATTCAGACTGATATTTCTTATTCCTATTTCCAATACTGCTATGTACTTTGGTTACCTGTGATATACCCAAATTTATGTAGGTTATCTAAAATTGATATTTAATTAATTGTTGTATTTACCTATACCCTGCCTTGGGAAGTGGCAAGCAACCCCATAACTGGTGTGGCTCAGGGGCTTCTTGGTGCGCTGTGGCTCTGGGGCTGCAAGAATCCCCTTAACTGTAGCACAACACCAAGTTGCAACCGCTCCCAGCAACCACCAGCAAGTGGTGCAACAATCTGCAGTGCCTGGGAAGGGCCGGCAAATATTCCTTTGCCCAACAGCCGCCTTTCCCAGTTCCCCACATTGAGCTTTCAGCTGAAGTACAAGCACCTTGCTGCCTTTGCTGTTTCTTTTCGGACCTGCAACTGCTTCACCCCAACTGCTCCAGCTTCTCTGGCAAATGCTTCCTAAACATACCCCCCCCACCCCCAAACCCAGTCCTGCAGTGTAGTGCAAATTAGAATGCCAGGCAATGGGGAAGGTTGGAAGTGGTTTCCCCCAATGGGAAGGCACCAGGCTTTGGTTTAGGGTTGGCTCACATTTCCTACATGTGGCTCCCAGCCTCACAACAGCTGAATGCAAAAGATGAAAGGTTGGTGTGGGGAATTGGGAGAGAGGGCAGCTGGGTGAATGCTGGGGCTTCCCGGGTGTTTCAGATTTGTACCATATTGTTGGACTGGGCTGAGGCAGTTGCAGCCCAGAACTACAACATAGCAAGCAGCCCCAGAGCTGTGTATTTATGGAGCTGCTTGCCATCCCACTAGGCAGGGTACAGGGCAGCCAGAAGGTCAGAGATGGTGGGACATAGGCAAGTGGGGAGAGTTGGAGGCAGTCTCTTGTCTTATTGAGGCACGTGGCTGGAAGGAACCAAGCCCAGAATGGCTTGGCTTGAGGTGAATCCTTGGCTAAGAACCATTGGAGTTTGTTTAACAATGTTAATGAGGAGTATTGGGATTGCCATCACTAACTGATGGAGTCATGTGTTGTCTTGCTTTACTACCTACCACATTGGAAATTCCAATCTCAATTGCGGTCATAAATCAAAGACTACTTGCAATGTTTTGTTTGATTGCCTCTTTCCTTATATTACTTTCAAGTTTTCTTTACACGTGAAAATGTACTGTACAAGCCTCTTTAAAAAAGGATTAGTACCTTATCATGTATCTTTTCTGCCAGGTATCTTTGCACCACTCTCTAAAATAAGTAAAATTTCTGGACACAAAAAAAGTACAAAAGCTTCTTCCTCACGACCATCGTCTATAATCAAATCCAAGAAAATTGATGTAACCCACATAACCTCTAAAGTGAATTCTGGTAAGCATGGAGACATTTTATTTTGAAGTAAAAAAACACTTCAGAAAGTGTAACAATTTACAGACTAAAATCAAAATTCATAGTTTGTAGGTAGCCTTTGTTTTCAGAGACTTAAGCAATAAAATGTATTATAATATTAGGTTGACAAAGATTAATTAGGAACAAATCCAACATGCATTGATATTCAGTACTAATGAGTGTTTTCTCCTATTTTAATTACTTTGCTTCCTTGGCATATTTAACAGACATTACCCATCTGTAACTGTTTTAGAATTTAGATAAGAGTCTTTCCCAGCCCTAAAGCTCAAAATTTTTAATGCAAAATATGTGCTCGATGCACTGGACAAGTTCTCTGATCTTTTCTTTGTGTTTTGGATTTTTTTCCTGAATTTTTTAAAGGAATTTTCACTTTCTTTTAAAAAAATTAAAGCATGTTATTAATATTCAATCATGTATATTTTTAGAGGCTAAGTGAAATATTGCTAAGCATTGTTGTTTTGTTTGCATGGAAGGTTGTATACTTTACATGCATATTCTTTTGGCAAATAATTGTTTATGTTGTACAATGCTTTTAAATTCCTGTTTAAAAAATAGGCTTCGGTATTTCAAATATGTTTTGGGCTAGCTTATACAAATGACAGGTTACAATTGTTATAATGTGAAAGAGCTTTGCTTAAAATCTTCTATAGTTGATTTAAAAGCAGACCCATCTATTTATGTACTACTAAAATACTTGTTCCCTTAACCTTTAACTGGGCAATATAGGGCAATATAGTGCATCATAGGGCAACAGTTTTTAGACCAAGGTACCTCAAATGGGTAACTCACAAAAATCCGGGATGACTTCCTTAGAATTGAAATTTGGTGAATTTTATAAAACATAAAGCATTTATAACATAATAAAACTATCTTTAAAAAATCTCCTGTAATCAACTCATAATGTTCAACTAAACTATACAGTACAGTTCAACATGAGCTGTTTTCAAGGCAGATATTTTTCTTAATCTCTCTTTGAAGTTTTAAGAACTTTTCAAGTATATTAGAAGCTCTGCCATTTGTGAAGGCATTGAGGAATCTGTTAAGGCAGTATCTCTAAAATGTTTACCCAAGGGTCATGGATGGTCTAGTTGCTACTGTATCTCTTGAGATCTCTTTAACTGAAAATTGAAGAAGGCATGTTGATGTAATATTGATTTTATTGGCTTGTGAAATGTAAGAAAGGGCTTCATGCACCTATAGGTGAGTTTACCCTTGAGTCTTTCAATATTCCATTATCCTTTAGAGGGAAATAGAGGATATGTATAAATATCTGTTTACATGTTTAATTATTATATGTATAAAGATGTTTGGATATGTTACTTAGACTGTGGTGGCTTCATAGGTTTGGTTTGGCTTACAGGCTTATCAAGAAAAGATGGTATTTCCAATTCCACATTTGTAGTCAGTGAAGAAGTAAAGAAAACTGTATCAGGTAAAGAAGGTAATGTGTCTTCTAGATATTTTTGGCTGTTATATTTGGTCTAGATAAGGGAAATCTATAATGATACTGTTTTAGTAATTTTAGATAAAGTTCTTCATACCTTGAAAATCTTGTTACCTTATGCCAGGATATATAATTCTTTTTCAGTGGCACTTATATATATATAGGAGTGCTTGGCTGGAAGCCTAATGAGGTAAAACATAGAATCATAATTCATCATTATTTCAGCCATAAACTGCTTTTGAATCAAATGGATATTCTAATGCATATGGAGGAAGAGTGTTCAGAAGTCAGTAATGTGTTGGACCTTAGTTGGTCCACTGGAGGGTTATTTTATCTCAAACGCTGCTGGGCTTTATGCTCCCATGCCTATTTCTGTTTAGCTGTGGAGAGAACAGCTAAAGCAAAACTGATTTATTTTTAGCTTATTTGGTGAAGGGAATATTGATTTTGTAGAAGGCCAAATTTCACTTTTCCCATTGGTAAGCTCCTAGCAAAAATGTCCTGGAAAAGTGGCCAATGGCTTTAGGGAGTCCTCTACTTTGGGTAGTTCCTTAGCCCTCGCCAAGCTAAACTTTCTAAGTTATGTAGGTGCTATTAATCCAAACTCTCCCAGAAGCTCGGAAGAGCATGCACAGTTTCATTGGTTCCTAGAATTGGTTCCTAGAATTCCTAGATGGTGGCTGCTCTATTTGACCACAGGGAGAGGAAAGATGGGAGGTGATGATGGAAGTGGAGCTGGGTGTGGGCAGTCTGCACATGGGCAGAGATGAATGTGATGTTTCAAGGCAGAGCAGGTTGCCTATTGCTTCTGATACTTTGGTTGAGAGGCTGCAAGTCATGTCTAGTGGCCTTTGCCCATTCTTCTCATTCTGTGATTCAAATACTGCGCCAAGGCTGAGTTGGCCTCTGACCACAGAGCTTGCTGGAGATTACAGCTGCTGCACCCAGCCACAGCAGCAATTTCTGTCTTCATGCGAGGGCAGTAACTTTATTGACCTTATTCCTGAGGCAGGGCAAAAGAGAAGCAACGGTTTTCAAAATGGAATACTTTAGTTTTGCCTCAGAAAAGTGCAAGAGGAAAGGAGATCAATGGAGCTGTGAATAAGATTATTAATTGACAGTATAAATAATAATTTTAAATGCACAGATAATTATAGTCACAGTGTTGATAAATAAGTGTATGCCATGGATCTCAAGGCAATCCATACAACTAATGCAGTGAAATGCAACAAAATAAATATATTGATAAAATATAAATAAATAAATCTGAATAAATTCACCATATTAAATCAAACAAGAGAATAAATTAAACCCTACAGAGAAATGAACTGAATACTTAAAAAAGGAGGAAACATGAGTTTTACATGGTTAACATATACACTTTGGCCTTCACTGATGGAGTGCTAAACTTTATGTCTCTGTCAGATTTCTTCCTCATTGGGAGTCAAAAAGGGCTCAGGACCTCCATATTTCATTATTTTAATGTTTCTGAAGTTATCCTTATAATATACCCTTTTAATACCAAGACAGCAGCATTTGTTGAGGTCTAATGGAATAGAATGGGGTGTGACTGGTAAAATGCCTGGTGATTTGAGCTCTCTCTTGTTGGAAATGCTCCATCCCTTTCATTGCACTGTAATTTTTCATCATGTTCTACATTGTTCATGAAATAGGACATTCTCTTGTAAAGATTGTGAACCTTCCTGAAGATTTCAGGATGTTTAACAAAATACTAGTTCAAGGATCTAATATTATATAGATTGTGATTAAGGGTACATACTGCAAGGGTACATGTTACAAGCAGCTGCAGCTACTTGAAAGCTCTTTGTGATGTTTTCCATATTTGGTACTTGTACATCCTAAAGCCCACATTCTGTTTGTAACTAAAAGAAAAACTTGCATTATCTTCAGGTCTATGGATAAATTACCTCAGGCCTAATCATCAAAATCTTTAGTGTCAGGTGAAAAGTGCCAGAAGAGGAAGTTATAAAAAGAAGAGACAGATAGACATAAATCTTGATAAGGAGCTTGTACATCAACATTTCACAAATTGAAATGAAAGTGATTTACCTTCCAATTTTACTTTATAGACAGGATTTTAATATTAATATGATGCATAACAGCATGCTGTAGGCACTAGTCCATGCACTTCATAATTCATCCACAAAATGTCATTCCCCCTGTTTCTCATCAAAGATTTAATAGACTAGCTATCAAAAGCAAAGAACCGAGATTTTTTATTACTTAAGGCTGCATTATTTTTACATTTATGCTCTAGGCTTAACAAGTATTACATACTAGTAACATAGACTTGAAAAACTAAGTGGTGTCCATCATGATCAGTTAGTTTTATGCTCACAAGGAATGAAAAATGTGACAAATAGACACTTCTTTCATGTGTTTATGTGCTTTCTAGCTGAATAACTTTGTTTTATTATTTTTAGCAAATTACCTTGGATTCAGTAGCTCTTCATCCTCAACTGTATCATTAGATAGCAAGGTGAATTGTCCCAAGAAATGTAATTCCACAAGTAATAAGAAGAAGGAAAACATGAAAGACCACCCAAATTCATCCAAATCTATGGCTGGTATAATTTCTGCTCAATTACTTGTTGTAATAGACCATTATAAGGATAGAGATATGGGAAGATTACATATCTAAACTCTAATGCAGCTATTACATTCTATAATTCTTGAGATCTTCCCGGTAAATTTTGTTATTCCTAAGAAGTGTGAGTGAAGTGGCAAGGGAATATTTGGTAAGTGCAGTTGATCTCAAATCAGCAGCCCAGCTATGGGCCTTATGTAAACTGTGTGTAAACTTCATTTATCTAGTTTATACTTAAAGACAAAAAAGCAATTTTCCCAACTTTTCTTATGTTCTCCAAATATCAGAGAGTGCTCCAATTGTGGTCTCTCTGCATGCATAGATAACTAAGCTTAATTTTCAAAGCAGCTATCTTAGCTTTTCACAGGATGCAGCTGCTTTGTTGCTTTGAGGACAGATGCTTCTGGCTGCTTTACGCAACCCTGGGAAATAACTATATCTTATCTAAAAATCATTAGGACATCTGTGGAAGAAAACAGATTATCACAAATGGTAGCCGGAGCTAAGAATTTCTTTGGCTGAAATTGTTTAGATTTCACATATTTGAAGTGAATTGTAAAGTAATATGATATAAGCCTCTCATATAGTACCAATCTTAATTTCCTATATTTGTAGGTAATTGTCTTTGCTAAATTTAAAAATCATACAGATATAATATATTAGTTCTTATACTGTAATTCTGTTTAATTCTGTTAGAGCATAACTGTGATGAGCCTGTATGCGAATAATGAGTTCATAGGTATTTTCTTATTTAACGTAATTTGTATATCTCTTGCATTTTATGAACCCAACTGTACAGAAGGAAATAATACTTTTCTATCTGCAAAGCAAAATGCATTTGATGAAGGGGAAATTCAGATTGGAGAAAGAGTATTGGTGGTAGGACAAAGAACTGGAATAGTTAGATTCTATGGGACAACCAAGTTTGCACCAGGTAACTTTACTGTTTATCATGTTTGCTTTACAGTTGCCATTAAAATATGTAATGTGATTTCCATAAAAAAATAGAATATTAATTAAATGAAGATTTACAGTAAAAACCAATAGGAATCACACTAAAAACCAATAGTAACAATTAGTTTTATTAATTAGATAATTGTATTATAAATTAAGCTACTAGTTAAAACTCAAATTATTAATTGGTAACAAATACATTAGTGTAGAATCAACTTTTGTTTTCCTGTTGGAAATGATGAAGGAATTTCTCAAGCATTTAAATTGTGTCCAGAAATATATCAGGATGGAACACAGTAGAGATACATTGGAGAGGACCTAACTGATTAAAATAATTTCATGTTATAATTTTTAAAATTTTCAAAATAGTTTTTTATGTACATTGTAGTAATTTAATATATGCATTTCTGGAATATGAATAACTGGCCAGATTGTCTTATTGGAAAGTCCTGATTCTCTTGAGAAAAAAAAAAAAGTAAGATGATGACAATCCTATTAGTCAATCTATATATACTAATAAGGTACTTTGTATGCAATATTTTAATCACAGGCATATTGTATAGTAAGTAAAAAAATCATTTTAATTTTGTGTTGAGTGTAAATTACTGCCTTTATAAAAAGCAGAACATTTAGCTCCCTGCTTATTTTATTTTGAAAAATCCATGAAATGTTAAGTTAAAATGCTATCAGTCATCATGGTTGATAAATGGTTGTCATCTGGAATTCTGACTTTTAGCTTGGTTAGCTATTTATTGTTATCTCTTTTTTATGTTGTTTTGGATAGTTCCTCTTCGGATTTTAGTTAGGCCTTGGATGTTTTCACTTATTTTATATTCTACATAAGCTGCTATTTTATTACATTAAGGAAGTAACGAACAAATAAATAAATTGACTTCTATCTTTTTAATAGATGAAAGAACATATTGAAAGTGGTGGATAGGGTAAAGAGTCTTGTTTGTTATTAGAGTTTATTCTGTACCTACTTTACCAGAGTAGATAACAGAACACCTAGAGACATTATTTTTTCACCTGATTGGTTGCATATTGGAAAAATTAATAGAAAAAAATGACTGTCCTAACAAAAAGGCTGAAGAAGTCAAGTTGCTAGTCAGCAACAATAATTGAGCATGTCTTCTCTTTTTTTCAAAAGATTGCACTCCGTAATATTTCACTCCAGCTGAGAGAATTTAAAGTATAGTTTCCTAAAACTTATTTAAATGCGTAGTTACTGATAAACTTGCAGATGTAACTGTTGCCTCTGAAGCACTGATTGTAAATTGAAAAGTCTGATTTTAAAGCTTTATTGTTCTTCCCTAGATTGAATTGCAGTATTTAGCAATTGATACCCTACTTTCCTCTCCTTATTCCATCAGCTTCTTTGTATATGTAGTGGAGTTAAATGCTAAAATACAAGCTGAAACAAATTATGAGAGAACACCATTGTCTGGATAGTTTACTGAAGCTGATTTATTTATTTGAAACAGCTTTCCCCCTCCTTTGGTTCTGCAGATTCAAAATGCAAGGAGCATTTCTTTTCAAATGAAACTTTTTAATGGACAATAATACCCCGTTTTGGGGGGAAAAAAAGGTACTGTACTTTTCGGAGTATAAGACACACTTCCCCCCCCAACAGTGGGTGGAAATGTTGGTGCGTCTTATACACCGAATACAGCCATTTTTGGCCTTTCAAAACCCTACCCAGCACGTCCCATTTTTGTGAAAATAGGCCCGTTTTTTCACAAAAACGGGGCATGCAGAGGGTTTGGGAGGCCTGCAGAGTGCTCCTGGGAGTTGGGGAGGGCAAAAACGCAACACGGGGGGGGGGGGGGGGTGGGGGGCCAAAAAGGGGACATTTTTTTTGCAAAAAACGGGCCTGTTTTTTGCAAAAACGGATGTGTTTTTGCCCTTCCCAGCCTCCAGGAGCACTCTGCAGGCCTCCCAAACCGGCCCATTTTTCACAAAAACGGGATGCACAGAGGGTTTGGGAGGCCTTCAGACTGCTCCTGGGGATCGGGGAGGACAAAAACAGTTTTTTTTTTCTTGTTTACCTCTTCGAAATCTTGGTGCGTCTTTATACTCCAGTGCGTCTTATAGTCCAAAAAATACAGTATTTCTTGTTGCAGGGCTTTGGTATGGCATAGAACTGGATAAACCTCGTGGCAAGAATGATGGCTCAGTTGCAGGAATACAGTACTTCAGATGTCCCCCCAGATATGGTGTTTTTGCACCACCATCTAGAGTGCAAAAGTAAGTGCCATAGACTGTGGTTTCAGCAGCAATTATTTTTATTGTATTACTTTCATTCAGAAACCTTTCCCAGTTGGAGAGAAGCCTAGATCATGTCACTCTTGCCAAACTGTAGGTCCTTGGTGCTCTCTGAGCTTGGTGGACTCTGAGTTTGGTCATCTCTGAGCTTGGTGGTTTCTTGCAGAGATTTCATTACCAAAATAGGTAACATCATCAGTGCAATATTCTCATCTATTCAATTTTTATTATCCTTATTCTTATATAAGCTTGGCCAAAGAAACTAATAAGTCTTTAAGACTAATGTGAGATAGTCAATAAAGCTGAGTTGTATTTTGAAATTTTTTAAATAGAAGTAGTTGCATCTAATGTCAGTATATGCAATCTCATAATTGAAAGAAAGATTTCTGAAATCTTCCTTTAACCTCTAGTGCCATAAAGCAGAATTAAATGATTGGGGAGACAGGTTGGAAACAGATCTATCTATGTGGGCATTCAGAGCTGACACTGCTTTGGTGGTACTTTGGTTACCATTAGCTAAATTGTGATGTACCCTAGCAAACACTATTCAGTGTTGTGAATGAGAGGGACTTTGAGGTGGCATGGAGAGAAGAGAAAATATCATGGTGGGAAAAGAAGGGGAAATATTGGCAAATGAGGCTAAAGCATGGTTAGGTTGAGGAGTATCTTGGAGAACGTGCAGTGGAAAATTGAAATTAACACTGACACAGACAGCATAAAAGAATGACATGGATTCAGCAGAAACAATAGATTTCTTTATAGAGAAAAAAGAAAACAAAGAAGCGCCAATTAAAAAGTCTGTATTAGCCGCTAGCTTGACAAGAAGTTGGATTTGGAACCATGATAATCTTCCACTAGTGTCAGAAATTTTATGTCTAAGTTACATATTTTCCACATCTTGGAATTGAGATTCTCCTAGCTGTGGTTGCTGTTGGGGATTCATAGCTACTTAACCATAAGAAGTGAGAAACAGAATTCTGGTACGGGGCTCCTAAAAGCTGATTTACAGGATACATACTTTGTTGCTGCATATGCTGCTACAGAGTTTTTGATCCCTGAAATGCTTTATTCATTTAAGGAATAGATAGATATTTATTCTGTCCCTCTTGCACCTGGAGAATGAGAATAATGGGGATAGTGTGAATCAAGGGGAAACTATTTATCTGTTCTAAAGACCCATTTCCAGTTGGGCCTTCCATTACCAGTTTTTCTGCAGTGATGTCCCAGCACTTCTTTCTTGATTATGTTAGATCAATTTTCTTCAACTAGTAAAGGAATCTTGATTCAGGATTATGAGTATTATAGGACGAATCCATCTTCAGGGCATTATAGATAGTCCTTGACTTACAACAGTTTGTTTAGTGACCATTCAAAATTATGATGGCACTGAAAAATGTGACTTACAACCATTTTTCACAGTTACGAACTTTGCAGCATCCCCATGATCATGTGATACATTTTTTTTTGACAACTGGTTCATATTTATGACTGTTGCTGTGTCCCAAGGTCATGTGATCACCTTTTGCAGCCTTCTGACAAACAAAGTTATTGGGAAAGCCAGATTCACTTAATAACTGGGTCCTAAGTTATCAACTGCAGTGATTCACTTAACAGCTGTGGCAAGAAAGATCATATAATGGGGCAAAACTAATTTGATAAATGTCTCACTTAACAACATAATTTTTGAGCTCAATTATGGTCATAAGTCAAGGACTACCTGTAATTTCGGGAAGATTGTATTCTGATTTCAGAAAAATCAATCTGTAGTAGTTTGTTATATGCTGAAAGATATTTACCAGTAGTAGAATAAAGGAAGAATTACACTGCTTTTATTTTTCTTTTGTTATCTTGAGTGAGAAAAAAAAATACATGATTTCATTTGCAGGTTAACAGGATCACTAGAATCTCTCACAGATACTTCAAGTAAAATGAATCATTCTTTCCCTGGTAAGAATACAACATGAATCTGTTTTTGTTTTTAGTTACCTATGTAAATTACAGAAATTGTAGTTTCTTGAACAAAATATATTTGCTGTAGATGATGTAAAGTGAGAAAGAATAGGAAAATACAAATGTTATGTCCATTTTCTTTCTTTTGTTTTCAATGCATTTCTGGATTTAAATATGGTTTTTTAAGAAGAGTGGATTTTTTTTTGAGATTCCAGAGATCTATTGATTATATTCCTAGATTCCAGAGATCTATGACATATATCTTTGTGAAATGCAGTTAAAAGCTTATCTTACATTATTTTGTACAAAATCCAAAGTGTGTGGTTTATTATTAGTTTTCTAATATTAATAATAGATTTAGAGTTAGTACTCTAATTCTGAGGTATCTATTGAAGATCAATCCACAAGTGTCCGTTATTTTAAGTATTTCAGTTCAGAGATTAAGTTGAAAGTTTCATGTTAGAAAAAACAATTATATTTTCAACACAGACTGAATCATTAGGGATAGCAAATTAGAAATTAACTACTTTAGTTTTTTTGTGCTGTGTTTTTTAAAGTGTGTATATCAATATATTCATAAATATTAACTAGTAACTAGATTGGTTGTTAGGCATAGTGTCTGGGAATGTTGGAAGTGAAAGGGGCCATATATGCTTTCAAAACCAATACCCAACTTAATGCCAAATGCAAATTGAATCATCTGTGAAAGATGGCTGTCTAGTTTCCATTTTAATACACTGAGCAATTGAGACTTCACTTCTGCAAATTAGCTCCATTTTTGAATTGCTCTCATTTTCCCTTTAGCATTAAATTGGAATCTGCCTTCTTGCATCTCAAATTCATGAATCCATGTCTTATACTTGGAACCTGAATGGAGAACAATTCTTTTGCTTTGACATATTTTCACCTATTTTAAAGAATGCTATCATATCCTGCTTCAGTCTTCTCAGGATTAAGTTAACCTAGTTTCTTAATTTCTATCCCTACATCATCTTCATTGTTCTCCTCTGAATTTTTCTATGAATCCTTTTTAGAGTTCTCAGAATTAGATAGATTGCATAAGGTGAAGTTTGACTAACACACATCGTGGGACATAATAGCTCTTTCCAGTTTGTGCAGCACTTCAATTGATACCTTTCTTCATCTTGATATGATTCATTGATAAGTGCACTTTTGAGCCAACTGTCTTGTCATATAATTGTGATGCTAACCAGCCCACAGTTGACCAACTGTGGCCAACGTTAATCAAAATATCACGGGAGAGGGGATTTTATAAAAATCTTTGCTGTAATTACATCTTTATAATTACAAAGTATTAAAGAAGTTACTACATCAAAAGGTGATTGGGCTTGTTCTTGACAAGTCCATACTAACACCTGCTTCTTAGTGCATTATTTTCAAGGTGCAAACCTTTACAATTTGTTCTGTCTCTTCCGAGGCTTAAGTGTCAGACTGGCCAGGTTGTAGTTCCCTGGTTCCTCTTTTTTCTCCTTTTGGTAGATGGAGATTTAGTTCTCTTCTAGTTAACTGACGCTTTACCAGTTCCCCAGTATTACTTACAGATAAACACTTGACCACATTGGTGGCGAGTTCTTTCATTACCCCAGAGGAAGCAGCTAATCTGGAGATTTAAACATATTAATGGAGAATATTCCATGACCATGTTGAAGCTTCCTCTCCATGGAATGATAAAAAAAGATTCAGAGTAGATTTCCTTTGTTATTTGTTAGATTTTGCTGTATTTATCAAGCAGTTAGCATACTTCTTTTTCCCCTATTATTTTGAGTTTATCTTAATAAACCATTTTGATTTCTTTAGTATCTTTTGACAACCTCAATTTATTCTGAGCGCTAGCTTCTTCAACATCCTGTCTACTGCTAGAGCTATTTATCAATTAGCTTCTTGTGACCCATCCTGTTTTCCGTTCTCGGTATACTTTCTTTGTTTATAGATCTTCATTGGCTTTTTGTATAGCCTTCCTCATTGGCTTTTTCTGCTGACCCCAGTTTTTTCTCATCATCCAAAATACTTGAAGATTCATAGTTACAAGATCACCATAGAAATGTATTGCATGTTCAATTAAAAGCTTATTCTGCTTTTTTTTCATTCAGGTTTCCAACGAAGTTTTAGCACAACCTCTGCAGCTTCACAAAAAGAGATAAACAGGAGAAATTTCTTTGTCAAGTAAGTGACTTTATAGAAGAAAGAACATAATGTATATATTCCTAATTTTCTGAGGTTAGAAGATTTAAAATCCCCTTTTATCTGAGGAGGCATGAATCTTCATGAGTAAGGAATCATTTTGGTATATGCATGCAAATCCCATATCTATTTCTGAATGTCTGTAAGAAAAACAATGCCAATGATGTTCTGCATATCTATGAATTGTCATGCAGCAGTGGTTGATAGTTGTTAAAAACAAGCAGTAATCTATTCTGAAGTGAATAACTCAAGATTGTAAAAAATCTAGGTCTATATTGCCACATTCCTGTCAGCTCATGCTAGACTAAATGACTAACATTTTTTAAATGCTACCCTCTCTCATCTTCCATACTTTGCATTGCTTTTTATTGGAATCTTGCTTAGACTGCACTGGAAGTAACATTAAATACTTGCTTGATTTTAACATTCTTGTTTTTAAAATATAGGGAGTGTATTTGTCACATGACAAACTGATAAGCTATTGGGATTGCAACAGGAAAGCCATGTTTTTTTTCCTTCTTATACAGAATTTTGGCATATTTAGCTCTTTCACAGCTAATAAGATCATTTAGAGCAGTGGTTCTCAACCTGTGGGTCGGGACCCCTTTGGGGGTCGAACGACCCTTTCACAGGGGTCGCCTAAGACCATCGGAAAACACCTATTTTTGATGGTTTTAGGAATAATTTTATGGTTGGGGGTCACCACAACATGAGGAACTGTATTAAAGGGTCACAGCATTAGGAAGGTTGAGAACTACTGATTTAGAGGAAAGGGCTATAAAATCTTGTTGACTTTCAGTTTAATGTGAATGAAGAAGATTATTTAAAATTTTTCTTCTTGCATAACACTGATAGAATAGAAATATATTAAACTGATCAAAGAATAAGTCAAATGGATACATGTTTTGCTTTGGAAATTGAATTAGAATCAATTAGTAGAAAGAGGTCTTTGGGCTTAATTTGATACGTTGGAGGCCAATTCCCTTTTGCTGTGCAATGTTGTATTTTTTATTTTACTTTTTTAAAAATTTTCAATTAGAAATAAATGTTGTTGCCTCTTTTTCTCTGTCCAGATCAAAAAATTCTTCTTTGCGTCGTAGTTGGAGCAACACTACTACTACAAGCACAGACGCCCCAGTGAAATTACATGAAGGCTCTCAGGTCCTCCTGACCAGCTCCAGTGAGATGGGCACAATTCGCTACATTGGGCCCACCAATTTTGCTCCAGGCATTTGGCTTGGCTTGGAACTTCGGAGTGCCAAGGGCAAGAATGATGGCTCTGTGGGTGAAAAGCGATATTTCACTTGCAAGCCAAAATATGGAGTCTTGGTGCGTCCAAGTCGAGTAACTTATCGTGGGATTAATGGAATGAAACTTGTTGATGACATCTGTTGAAGAACATCGTTTCAGTTAAGATGAGGCTCTCACAAAAACAGATGAGGAAAACCTGACTTTTACCTGCATGGAACCCTGTCTTTACCTAACATCCTAAAGCTTCATGGCTCTAAGATGTTCACAGTTTGGAAGTGTGCAGTGACCGAAGAATGAGATCTTAGTAGCTTTCACTGTAAAACATTTCTTGCTTGAATACTTCTTGTATTAGAAACATCTTGGATTTGAGCTGCTCTGTTACTCCAATAATAACCATTATTCGAACTAACTCCATTTTGACAGGCTTTGTCTCTTCAAAATGAGCTTTTCATCCTGTATTTTAGTGAAGCTATAATGCATCAAGAGATCATACAGTTTGTTAAATAACTGTTTAAAATTCTTTCTCTAGAAAAAAACAGTAAGGTAGAAAAGCGACGGAGAAAGAACTCTGGGAAGCTGTTAGCTTTAGACAGTTCCCTGAAAGCACAAAATGATCAGTTGAAAAAAACCCTGAAAAGTAGAATTTGCTTATTTGACATGACATGAAAGCTACAAAAATGGATATTTTCAGGTTTCCAGCAAAAGCACTTTTAAACTGTGTGCGCGCGCAGACACTTAAAAAAAAAAAGTATGCCAGAAGCACTTTAAAAAAAAAAGCCTTTGGGACATTTAATGTGCACTTTTATTTCTCCTGAAGTATTTTCTATGATCATTTGGATAAGCCATTTGGTAAGTTGAGACTGTAGCCTGTAGCATTGCACCAGTTATACGTGTCCCAAGCGCTGTATCCAGAAGAGGCTAGGAGATCAATAAGTGTTAAGATCCTGGAGAAATATGTGCTTGGATGTACAACCCCTCCTGCTTCAGAAAACATGCACCTTCTTCCTATGGCAGGTGAGAACAAAGTCACTTGGTGTGTGATATCATTCTCATCTTCAACTCTCCAGGATGATTTGATCATGATTGCCTTTTGAGAACTGAAATTGCAGAAACTCTGTGGCTGTTTTGCTGTATTTTCATGTGTTTCTTTGACTGTTGCAGGCGCTAGGCTGTTTCACAGCCAATACATCAAGCCAGAGGAGAGTTCAGCTGAACAGAAGTTGAGTACTTAGCTTGCAGGCCAATAGAAGCCAACATGGATGCCGAAAAATTATGTGCAAACCTATAGTTTGCTACCTGCATCCAAAATACATTTTTAAAAAGTATTATATATATAAATGAAAAGCCAAAGAAACCAGCAAATGGTTTATTTCTTCTAAATGAAGTATCTTGTCAAACTGCACTTAAAACCGCAACAATTTAAAGCATCATTAAGGACTTTTGGCAAGATTTATTTACTCTGCATAAAATGTTTAATGATAAAATGGTTTTTTCAGCTTTGCTAGAAGAAATTTTCCTAATCTATATTTCTCATGATCTAGCAACACTGTTACTCTCGTTAATGAATACTTTTGACTAAGGAGAATAGTTACATAATATGGCTATAAGCTTATTTTTAGTTGTAAGATCATGCAAAAAGTAGTTAATGAATTTAAGGATGAAGTTGCACCTTGATGCTTGCTATTTCCTAATCCAAAATTAGCTTTCTTAATAGTTAAACTTTATTTTGTTATTTATATTGATAGAAAGGGTTGTTACTAAGCATGGTTGTGCAAAACCTTTGAAAGAAGTGTATAGTGTACATGGGAGTGTGTGCAAAGCTCCCTCTTCTAATCAGCTAAATCCTTTTCAAAGCTCATGGAGCTCATATGCTTTTTGAGGTTCAAGAGTTGTACATGTCCAGTGTGTGAAACAAGTTACTATATTAATCATAAAGCCTAGGAAAAGAAGCAGCTGCCTTATGATTCTAAAAGTGGTGCTGCCACCAGTAATACAAAATAAAGCAGATGTTTGAAAATTCCATTTATGTCTGTAAAACCTGAAATCTCAAAAGAAACTCGAGAGTAACAATGTAATCACTGATATGCTCCTTGGTGCTCATTAGGCAATTCACCCCACTTGAATTCAAAGATTCTTTTAGTCAAGCACAATAAATGGCAATCTAACGTGCCACAAAACACCAGCCTCATACATTATCTGTATTTCCAACAGTGCCTTTGGGCTCCACAGAGATCCAGCATAGTTGAAGGCTTCATTTGCCTTCAGGTAAAGTCTTCATCATGACCAGTCCCATGGTCGCATCTATTTTATAATATTGCCCAAAACATGCTCTCAAAGTTCCACGTTCCAAAGTTCTCATTGAGCACCCCACTCAATGAAAAAACCTTGTTAATAATTTAATTGGTCCATAGATACCTTGATATTGAACATAAAAGTGTTATATATTCCTTGTACTGTATACTGTATCTTTTGCATTATATTTCTCTTTCACCCTCTTCGTGTTTGACTAATGAAGCCTCCAGGGAAATGCTTAATATAATTAAAGAGTAAAAATGTATTGATACTTTTTGGTGCAACAGTTCTGTAATCAATTATTAGTGTATTTTTGCAGTATTTACAGATTATCATTGTCATTTGTTACATTTATATCCCTCAATTATTATCGTTACTCTGGTGATTGTAATAATAGTTTGCTTCAATCATATTATTCAGTTTCACAGAATGTTAATGAGTGCAATTTTCTACATAATAACAAACCCTGCTGAGTTTAGTGTAACTTATTCCCAGTTTAGTATAAGATTGCACCATATATTTTCAGACAAACTTATTACACAAAAATGTCTACATAATTACTATGCAAGTATACATACCTTGTACTAGAGATGAACACTTTGGGGCAATAATTTGAAAAAAGTATTTCAGACTTTAACGAACAACTGCAACTTTTTTTCCAGACTTACGCAGAACCCTGGAAAAGTTGACTTGCATTAATGAATAGTAGAAAAGGCTTGAGCTTGTGCCTGTGCCAGACCTTAAGCATTTTTTCCAAATTATTTTCAAAGCATATAAACAGCCCTGGTATGTATACTCAATGGATTGTAGCAGCTAGTTTATGGTTTCATCAGATAAAATCAGAAACCATGGCTTTATAATATAATATATTACTTTCCTTGGCTTCTAACTTGGCTCAACTCTGAAGTGGTAACTTTGTTATTACTTGTTTGATCCAAATTAGATTAAGTATAGTTTCTTATTTGCCAACTAATATCAAATCAGTGTGGGTGTACTAGGAAGCTAAATTAAATTAATAAAATGCATGCTAAAAACTGAGACTGAATCATAACCACAAAATTAAATGTTACCACTATGATACTTCTGAAAATGATTGCTAAGCCATGCAGAAAGAATTTCAGAAGACTAACAATGCCTACTTATTTCCATTGGGTTTACCCCTGATAATTCAATCCAGGATTGAAGATTTCATAATTCAGTTTGATTGATATATAATTTGATTGATATATAAGCTGACTTTGTATAAATATACAAAAGTATGAAGGCTATTGCTTAACGCATTGTAAGCCGCCCTGAGTCTCCGGAGAAGGGCGGCATATAAATCAAATTAAAAAAAAATAAATCAGAAAAATAGAGCCTGTTACATCAGAAACTCTCAAACTGGAGTTTTGTGGAATCCCTTAGATATTTTGAGTGTTTCTTGAAGCCATGTATTATTATTTTTTGCTTGCTTGCTTTCAACTTACTCTTGACTCCTGGCAACTACAGTTGCAAGTACATGCAATCTAGGCCAGTGGTTCTCAATCTTTTCTTCATCATGGATCCCCTTTAAATACCTTTTGTGGCCATGGACCATGGTCAAGGACCCCCAAAACTTAATATTTAAATCATAACATTTCTTCAAGCCTTCGCTTGAAGAATATCAAGCTGTGACGACATCGTGACTCCCCAGGGTTCTGTAAACCACAAGTCGAGAACCACTGGTCTAGGCAATATTTTTGGAAGTGTTTTAACATTACTTCCAAGGGCTTAGAGAAAGTGAATGGTCCAAGGCTGTCCAGTCAACTTCCATGCTTAAATCAGGATAAAGACTCAGGTTTCCCTGCTTCTAGTCCAGCATCTTAATTTCTAGAGCAAACTCTCTAATCATAAGTAGCGTGGAGCTGCTTTAGATGTTCATGTTTTACACTGTATCAGCAATAATTCCAATTGTTGAAAGTAAGTATAAAATTGAAACGTGTAAGACTAAGCTGCCTTTGGGGCATTGTGTGGAAATATACTGTATAAATGAATGAATGACATTAAAATGTAATTTTACTTTCTAGATTGTAATTACTTTTGATGCAAACAGAATATTTGTAAAGTAAGGTAGTAAAACATTGATAATTCAGGTCACTGATTGTAATATATAAAAGTACACTTGATCAAAATATTTCAGCAACTGTCAAAAATATAACTGATCACATTTCAACAACAACAAAAAAATACTCTGGTGTGATTAAACACAAATGACCACTTTTTCCCTTTGGAGAGTTAGTGGGTTTTTTTAATCATTCAAATAATCACCCACAATGCCTTTGTAACTTCAGTTCTGTTGGAATCATGTTAATCTTAAGTGCAGCTTAGAAGGGAAAATGGATCTACTATGACAGCCAAGTATAATCACCAAGAAATAATACCGCAACGAAAGAGTGGTAATGATTTTGTCTGTCCATTATTCTAGTAAGCCTAAATAAAAACTAAAGGTTTTGCAAGTTTTTTTACGTAGTGTATTTAGAACAGTTGTCCAGTCCTATTTAAATGATTTTGTTTCTTCTCCTGATTCTTGGAGATTGCCTGGACAACTCCCTGCAGTTTTCTGGCAAGTTTTTTCAAAAGTGATTTGCCATTGCCTCCTTCCTAGGGCTTAGAAAACAACTGGCCCAAAGTCACCTGTTGTGCCTAAGGTGGAATTAAAACTCGCACTCTCCCAGTTTCTAACTCGATTCCTTCACCGCTATACCAAACTGGCTCTCATTTAAAATGAATAGCTCCCCTCTAACCAGCACAGATTGTAACCTCTGGCCCTCATAGCCTGAATTACTGCTAATCTAGTTCAATCAATTTAGCATTTCTTAATAGCAAACTTCCTATTCAAATTTTCATTCCTTGTTAGCATTATTGTTAGGTATTTAACCTTTGCGTGACTTTTATATACTGACCAAATGTATTTCATATTCCAGTAACAGTAATTTTTGAGTTGTGAAGATAATACACCATTGAACACATGCCTTCCTTTACAGTCATTTTATTTTCATGCCTTTAGGTTCACTACACTAGATTACAATACAAATACAATAGAAAATATGTAATGACCATATATTAGTATTTGATTTTTGAGAAGGATCCCTGAAATGCATAGGCCCTTGGTTTATGAGTAATGTTGCACAAGCTTCTGTACAAACATGAATCACATTCCTAATGACAAAGCTCTAGTACAGACTGAGGCACAGAGGGTTGAGACATCCAGGTGTAACTGCAAAAGGCCTTTGAAATGGTAGTACTTATTCTTTCTGAAAGAAAATTCTTAAAAGAACAGCAGCTATTGTGCACTGCAGAATGAGCCCAGCAAAACTCCATTCCCCTGGCCTAAATTTGTAGATTCAGAATGAAAGGAAATAAAAACATTTTCTGTATGTTCTGTTGTGTGTTGCGGCACTTCTATGTATGTCCACTTCAAGAGTACATCCCATGAAAAACAGGCCAAGTTTTGCAATATGCTTTCTATCTGACTTCTCATGCATCTAATACCAGAGGAGAGACGGAATGTAAAAGTTATACCTACAGCAGTGTCATTCCAGACAAAATGGAGAAAAAAGGTGTTCTATTTGAATGTACCATCCTTTTTTGAAGCATCCCCTGCATCTTTGTTAGAATTCCACTCCCTTTCCCACAAAGAGAATACTCTTCCTGAATCTCAGAACCTGAAAAAGGGCTGTACAAATGTGATATAGCTGTGGATCTAGGAGCATACCTTCTATTAGTCTTACCCACGAACATGACCCCATTCTACCATATTTAACTTCTTGTTCTCCTAATATGTTGTTCAAAGCTAATAAACTTACAAATGAATGGAAGCTACAGTTCAAGGTTGGCCTTTCTAGTGTGATACTGGGGTTCCACTGAGCCAGACACTTCTCACAGTGCTCACCAAGTTTGCTGTACACCTATTATTATTTTTAAAGTTGCTATATTGCAAAACAAAGCAAATTCCAATTCTATCTTAATTTTACTCCGGGCTCACATAGGATAAAAACTAGGAGGTTGACTGGCTGTATTATGATAAATCAGCAGTTGATCTGTAATTCATTTTATCCTGCTCATATAGGATAGTTCCGAAAGAAGGAGCCTTCCGATGGTGTTCTAGTACCATTTAATTAAGTTTATTACTCAAGGCAAAGAAATTGACAATGTTTTGGAGGCAGCCATCAAGACAGATGTTGAAGGAGAATAGTTGGAGAACTGACTCATACCATAAATACAGTAGATTAGGAATCCTATCGTGTTTCCCTGAAAATAAGATCCTGTCTTATATTTTTTTGAACCCTGAAATAAGTGCTTGGCCTTATTGCCACACGCTCAAAAGCCCGATTGGGCTTATTATCAGGGGATGTCTTATTATGGGGAAACCGGTAGTTTCTCCTTGCCTCTACTTCATTGATTTTCCTATAACTGTATACTTTTCTCCCAACTGTAATTATGGGGGAACTCTCTCTCTCTCTGTGGTGCTTCTCTTCTGCTGCAGTGCAACTATAGTGTGTGAATAAACTTCAAGACTTTGCATCAACCACATTCATTTTTTGCTCATTGCTTTTCCCTGTAAGACTTCAAGGTAGGGAAGCATGAATGTATGTTTTCCATATAGCTTCAGAGCTCATGCCTCAGAAAGAGATTTGCATCGCTGATCAGCTAAAAGGCAAATTGTGTGATATATTCCTTCAGCTCTTCCCTAAACTTGCCACGTTGACCATATAAATTATTGAAAGTGACTTCTGCCCAGGTGGGGGTTATTCTTGGGGAACACACTCCTTTATAGATTAGCATGATTCCCATGTATTTGTGATGGTCTGACAGCTTCAGTTTTGGTCTGTTTGCTGTCCCTGGCATAGCGTTTTATGTTATTCTGTAGTGTAACTTAAATGCTTGATGATGCACTTGTGCTAGATACTTAACAGGCTTGTCCTCGATAAATAACTGCTGTGGAAAGACTCAAGATTCTCTTCATAATGAGGTTTGTAAGTTTTGCAAGCATCAAGATAAATTTATTTCTTTAGAACAGGGGTGTCAAACTCACATCGTCACAGAGGCGTCATGTGATGTATCAAGATCCCCCCCCTTCATTAAAATGGGCATAGGTATGGCCAGCGTGTGATGCATCCGGCCCATGGGCCAGAAGTTTGACAGCCCTGCTTTAAAGAATTATATGGCTTACCATCTTATACACAATAATCTTAAGCAACCACAACTCAGTACAATGATTTTCAAGGGTACAAAATTACACACCACTGAGGGCCTTTTGCTGAGAAGGTAAGAATGGCTACTGGTTTGTGGAGCTTTTTATGAATTCTGGCATATATTAAAACTATAATTAACATTCCAGAGAAATTCTTGGCCAGTGCTGTCCTTGGCTAATGGAAGACGCAAAACAAGGGTACAGCACACACACAGCTACATAATGTACACAAATAAGCTATGACATGAGGTTTGGTATAGTCACTGCAACATCACAACCTGCTTTAGTATTGTATTCTGTATTTTACAGAATCCAGAACTCTGCTTTTAATTATCCTGAACTGAATCAAACACAAACCACAGTGATAAAATTAGCATAAACCAAAATGATCATCTGGTACCTTCTGTCCCATATTCACGAGAGCAAACTGCTTCTTAAACAATAAGCGCGTGAGAAAATAGGTAACAATTTTGCCACCATAATTGCTTATATATAAGCATCTTATTTGAAAGTAAGGTACTTGCTAGAATTCTTCTGTTGCAACCTTAAATTTCCTTGCAATTTAACATACTACTGGATTTGAAAAACGTGTTCCTTGGATTAACTGTTTCTTGCCCAAACTTTCAGGAGAGAAGCTTCATACTTATTCCAGTAAATTTCTTTCTTTCAGATGATACTGTTATGTAGAAGCAATTACTGTATGGTAAAATCTCTTGTCCAGTTTCTCATACTCTTGCAATTAAGGGGGCCCGGTTGTTTCCCTCTTGTGAAGGCAGGACGGAACGTAACTCTTGATTGGTTTGGTAATTGCTGGTCTTATCAGCATAAGGAACAATTCTCACAAAGAATGTGATTTTTGCTGTATGCAAGTAGAAATGTCAAGCAGGAAACCCACATACTTACTAATTTAAGCTCCCTGACTCAACTACAGAACATGGGGCTGCCTATGTAAAAGTGATAATAAATGGTTGTTCAGAGCAGAGAGAAAGCCAGCCTCACTTCATATTTTAAGGTTCTTGGTTATTTCCTGGCAGGACCATGATATTCTTTCACTGGGATGGGTTCATAAATGTTCTATTTGCCTAATTTACAGAGCAATTTCTATTGACTGTTATTACAGCAAGCCAAGAGCCACTGACAGTCAATAACATTTGCTTTCATTGAGGAAGATCGCTCATCTTCATTTGCATATAAGGCCTAATGAAATTAATGATCTTATGCAATGCAAATTGCACAGAACTATAGCTGCGTTTATTAGGATCTTAAAACAAAGACAGGAGGCACAAATTGGTCTTCATTTATCTTTACAGCGATGCAAAGGTTGGGTCAGCGTAAGATACTATTAGTACCACATAATATACTATTTTTCACTTAAGCTAGAAAATTGGTTGAAAGTTGCACACCTGAGTAGCAACTTTGGTTCAATGTGCTAGTTTACTTGCTTGGAACAATGCTAATATCTTCTTTTGTATCAATATTCTCATATCACAGGCATCACCATCTCTTTAATTTTTTCACCCAGTAGGTATTACTGTGTAGGTGCAATTTTGGCAACTAATCACAAAGTAAGATATTTTAATAAACCTTTTCAATTCAAGTCAAATTAATGGTTGTTTTTAACAAGCATGTTGGCTTGTGGCTCTACGGCTTGCTGAATTTTAATATAATTGTTGTTTTAAGTCCTAATTTATCAGTATATGTATATATTATATTGTATATCAGTGGTGGTGAACCTTTTACTCACCGAGTGTCAAACAGGTACCTGCTTTGTGCACTTTGTGCGCACGTGCTATCCGCACTGATGCACAGCTCCTCCCCCATGCACTGCGTTTGCAACACCATCTGCGCATGCGCACAGATTTCATGTGCGTCCCCTGTGAGCTGCGTGTGCAACCACACTATCTGCACAAGCACATGGCTTTTGTGCAGGCCCCCTTGCGCTGTGCCCGCAACCACACCATATGCAAATGTGCATGGCTTTCATGTGGCTCCCCCATGCGCTGCACACGCAATCGCACCATCTGTGCATGCACACAGATTTTGCGTGCCCATGCGCTGTGCACACAATTGCACCATCTGTTCATGTGTGTGGTTTTCACACCTGCAATGCATGCACATGAACGCCATTTACACATGCACGCACTGCGCCGAAGTACTCTCATGTACATGTGCAAATGCGCACACATGCACAGCAGAGCTCTGAAGATCAGCTGGGTCTCCTGAATGGCGTGCAAGCACACCGGAGGCCCGAACACCAGCTGGGGTGCGTGCGCATGCGCAGCTGCAGGTGAGTTGGGTGACAGTTCATGTGCCCAGAAAGATGGCTCTGCATGCCACCTCATGCACGTGTGCTATAGGTTCGCCATCACGGTTATATATGCTTTGAAAAATGGGCAGTGAGGATTTTTTAACATCCCTTTCTCCTAAATTCTTGTTCTATAAAAGCTTTTGGCTTGGTTCCTAGACTACTACGCATATTATAATAATTAGTATCTTCACACCCTGGAAGAATTGATATTCGTACCAAAGGACTCTCTTCCTCTGATTGCCAAGCTTTGCCCTCAGCAATGATATAATGACAGTGACATAATGAGAGTTTCAGTAGTATGCAATCTGGCCTTTACTATCTTGATAATCCTTTGCTCATCTGCCACATTTTGGCAGATCCATCAATGACATGAATACATGCTGAAAGATAAGTGTTAGATTTAACTGCTCAACAGTTGCCAACCAACAATCACAATAGATGGGGAAAGGAGAGCGTTTTTACTGCCTTGCCAAGGTAATCCATTTCATTTGGTCGTGTTCTTTGACTTTCTGCAATTTCCACCTTAGAATAAAAGGAGTGACATTGACACATTTAGCTATTCTGTTGCTAGGTCTCCATAGTTTTGCATGCATGTGGTAGCTATGATGCTATTTGAGTATGAGCTCTTTCAGAGTCCATGTTATGTGACTTTGCCTTTGACAGGACGACATTTCCCTACCTTCTCTGAAATCATGAGGACATCCAAAATATTGTTTGGCAGTATAGAAAATCCCTAAACATTAAACACTTGGCCAGCGAGTTTTGAAATGGCATATAAACAACTAAGAGGAAGCAGCACACAGGAAAGGCCATAGCAAACAACCATGCAAGTGATATTATGCAATTGAGGGCAGGGCCTTGCTTGTAATAGTGATTATTATCTCAGAGAATTATGTGTTTTTAAAGGTATGATTGTGTAGGTGTGTATATAAAGGAGCACTGATAAATTGAAACTTATTAAGAGATTTAAAAAAAAAACAAGCTTCAGGGGTGATGGCACTTCAGAGCAGATTGGCACATAACAGAAGGGAATTTTGTTCTGTTCTCGTGCTTGCTATATGGTTGACACTGAAGTTTGTGCCAAGGCTCACGAGTCACATGGGAAGAAAGTCAAGAAGATTAGAGGTTGATTGAGCTGGTTCCTAAGGTGAAGGTCCTCGTAACTGCTGGCACAGAGGTGGGGCTGAGGTTTCCAAGGGAAGGCCTTGCTGTTGGTATCCATAGTTAACATTGCCACAAGGAAAATGGCGAAGCCTGAAGAGAGGCACTTCCTTAACACTGGCTGTAAGTGAAGATGGTTCTAGAAGAAGGGAGGAGCTTGGCAGCCTTCCAGCCATTATGCTGGGCCCCAAAGTACAGCTGCCTTCATGCCTTGAATCTTCCTGCTCTGTTGCCTCTTTTTCCAGCTGAGAAGTCTTTTTGACAACTGGCTTCTCTGAAAACCAAGAGCCATATGTTGGGTTCCAGAGGTTGGTAGGCTTGTTTCTGGATCCCCGGGTTTTGTGGAGCTCTGTTGCAGGAATTGATTGAGTGTATGCCATGTTGACATGTCCCCCTTCTAGGGCAGTCTGGATGTTAGCCTGGGTAATTGGCTCAACAGCAGCTGCTTTCATGAGAGCTTTGCCTGCTGGAATGACGAAAGGGAGAGAGGACGCGGAAGGCAGGAGCTGCTCAGCACCCTTTTTCTCTCGCTGCGGCAACACTAACAGAGGAGGAATTGCTTCAGGATCTTCAGGACGCACAGGAACCTTTTCTTCTTCTTCAATGCATGGACCATACTCCACAGGCAGAACCGTATTGATGACATCAGGATCCTATAGGGAAGGAGAGACAGTAGTTCAACATGTATTTATCTTCTAGTTATGACTAAAACAGTAGTGGAATAATATATTTTTGTTCATAAACAGAGATATTCTCTCCCTCATTTTCCTAACAATATTAAAATTCACAATTACACAATAAATATGCCAGGCAGAAAATAACACCGATAAACTATTCTTTCACATGAGTAAAAAAAATGTATGGATTCCATGTCTTCGGTGTGGAAGTCACATTTATGAGTGGATTCCTTAAGACACCAGCACCTTTTTCCTATGCTCATGAAACTAGTTAAATTGCTTTAAGAAGAGCTACTGCTACTAAAAAGCAGAAACATCACCTGCCAACAAAAGTGCGTATAGACAAGGTTATGGTTTCCCCAGTTGCAATGTATGGCTGTGAAAGTTGGACCATAAGGAAGGCTGAGTGCCAAAGAATTGAGGCCTTTGAACTATGGTGCTGGAGAAGACTCCTGCGAGTCCCTTGGACTGCAAGGCGATCAAACCGGTCAGTCCTAGAGGAGATCAATCCTGACTGCTCTTTAGAAGGCCAGATCCTGAAGATGAAATTCAAATTCTTTGGCTACCTAATGAGAAGGACTCACTGGAGAAGAGCCTAATGCTGGGAACGATTGAGGGCAAAAGAAGAAGGGGATGACAGAGAATGAGGTGGCTGGATGGAGTCATTGAAGCAGTCGGCTTGAGCTTAAATGGACTCCAGAGGATGATAGAGACAGGAAGGCCTGGAGAAACATTGTCAATGAGGTCGCCATGGGTTGAACATGACTTCGCGACTAACAACAACAACAATAACAACAACAACAACAACAAAGGAAGAGCAGAGAGAGCCTGCTCTTCTCTTAAGAAGATGCATGATCCAAAGAACTTTTTTCAAATAATTTTTGAAGTGTGCACAAGCTCACTGTGGTTAATCAATCCCACTGCTAAACAGCATATTTTATTTAATGGAATATTGAAACAATAGGAACTGATTAAAACAAAACAAAACTTTTTTCAGATTTACAGTATTAGGATTGGGTGGAAGAAATACGATATTTAAGAGACAGACTCTTCCCTGTACTTCTGATTTGCAGCGCCATGAGGACCACCAAATACATTTAAAAGAAGATAAGACTGTCTTTGGAACATATGCTGGGGATATAACTATACTGATTATGTTGGGTTCTGTTTTTTAAAACCTTTACCCATTTTGGGTGTATTAAACATGTAAGAGAAAACGATGTGGGATGTGAAAATGATGTATATGTGAACCTGGAGTATATTTCTAGAATGTAGCCTTTTCTAGTACAATTACTTCAAGTTGTGCCTATACTAGCAGCCAAAAAACATCACTCTAGTTTAGGGAAACCAAATACAATTAACTCCAGGTGTGCTGAAGACTTACAGATCTATGCAAATATGGTCTATTTAAGAAGGACAATAAAGGCCATAGAGAAGTATCTATCAAAGCTAACCATCCCTTTTAGATATGGATGATCTATTCTTTATGTGGTTGTGAGATGGTTGAACTATTCTTTCAATAATTGTTTGCATTCCCCATTTGCCTTGCTAAGGGAGGGCTACGAGCCCAGAAAGTTGAGAAAAAGACATTATCAGTATACTATATTCGGTACGCTTGGCATGTTTCCCTTTTGTCTTTTCCTGCACCATGTTTACAAACAGTGATGGAGCCTGAGAGCAATGCTTACCTGGGTGCAGTATTCAATCCTCTCCAGAACAATGGCAAAGTCTGGCCTGTCTTCTGGCTGGTGTTGCCAGCATTGGGTCATTATTCGATATCTACAACAGTAGAAGAAGAAAATGAAGTCCACAAGAAAATGGCACTAAAGGACAGATTTAGGTTGACATTCAGTTTGTCACAGCATAAGAGGAAACACTATCATAATGACATTTTTTTATATTACCATTCAAAAGTGAATTTTTGATCCTTGTCAACTAGCATCATAGCTGCAATTTGAATGATAACAATAGAATGGCATTCAGCCATTGCTTGGCTAAAACTGGGCTAAAACTATATGCTTAATCTAGACTAAGCTATATTTTGGGATATTGCCCAAATAACGTGTGTGTGTGTGTGTGTGTGTGTGTGTGCGGCTTTGAGTCACTGCTGATTCTGGCAATTGCCTGGGTCAATTGCTGACATTTTCTGGCAAGATTTTCAGAAATAGCTTGCCGTTGCCATTTTCTTAGAAAATGAATGGGCCAAGGTCACCCACCTAGCTTTGTACCAAAAGTTGGACTAGAACTCACAATCTCCTGGTTTCTAGGATGACACTTAATCGCTACACAAACTAGGTCTCTAACATCTATTTATATAAGCAAAAAATGTGGAATCTTTGATTAGCAATTTCTTAGAAGCATGAACTTATTTATACATCTATTCAGTTATCTGTAATTAAATAAATTAAATCTACATTATTTACAAGAAAAGGTATTTAATTAATACTAGAGAATAAGAACTTTGAATAACAGAGTATCTATTGATTAGGCAGGGACTATTCATCAAAAACCAAGCAAGAACAGCCATCCTGTGTCCTAATGAATAATGAATCTGTTATTACAGATGCTGATTCTGAGACAAAAATAGCATTTTAAGTTTGGGAGAACTCAAGCAATGCAGAATTACCACAAATTTCTACAATAAGAAACTCCCTAAACAGCTTATTTTCAATGCTCTCTGAATGCTTAGTACCATGGAAAAAGTTCTCTATATCAAGGGTCTCCAACTTTGGCAACTTTAAGACTTGTGGACTTCAACTCCCAGAATTCTGCTAGTTGAAGTCCACAAGTCTTAAAGTTGCCAAGGTTGGAGACCCCTGATCTACATCACAGCCCTTTGCTTTTAACATTGCTTGTTTTATCTGACAGATGTCCTGCATACGGGTCTGACTGACTATATACACATAGCCAGAAAAAAAATCAGAAACTAAAGCTATTTAATCTTTGGCATGCACTTATGGAGCACATAAATTTTCATACACAGGGCCAGGGCAGTTTTTGGGTGGATCCATCCTTCCTCCACTTGTGACAAATTCCAAGACCTCCTGGTTACTTTTGCTGGGATAGGGCATATATCCAAGCGAGAATATTTCCCACAGCAACACTCCAAATGACCTGGACACAGAAAAGCAAGAAAGAAAATCACAGCTTTATTTGCAGAAATCTGAGCAAAATTATCTAAACAAGTAGGAAAATTCTTGCAAAGTCCTTTAGGTTGCATGCTTTCTAACTATTCTCTGTCAGTGGCTTTGGATCTAACTTGTTTCTATAGTGTGTCAAGGAACTGTGGCACCTGTTTGACAAGCTACATTATTTGGCAGAAGAAAAAGGCATGCATAAAGAACTTTTCGGCTTCTATCGCACAAAAAAAAATGTGGGCAGGGATATTTTAAACCCCCGAGCCGCTGTTGGCTTGCCAAACGGAAAAAAAATTCTGAGCAAGCCTACCAGGTATCTGTTTTGGATGTAAATATCCCTTCCATGAAGGCTTCAGGTGGCATCCATTTGACAGGCAGCATTGCACACCCTCCTTTTCTGTAGTAGCTGGCTCTGCAGTCGAGGTAAGAATATTAACAAGAGTTAAGTATTGGCTCCTTCAGCAGTTGATTGAAGTGGGTGGCTCTGAGAGCTCTGCTGATGGCAGCCATGAGACTTTTTTCTTTCTGAAACAAATTCTCCCTTTTATAAGAAAAAAGGGGAATATCCATCTTTTACTTTTCTAAACAAGGGAAATGGCATTGATTTGTTATATATAATTACATCCTTAAATCTGCTTGAAGCAATAGTTCCATTCTTCGATGGCAACAATTTGAGTACGAGGAACCAAATTGTGATTATAAATTGCAATGTGGGATCAGGTGAGAATTTCAGAGATGTACCTGCTTTCAGAAGGCCAGGGGGGCATTTCTGTCATGTGCGAGTTCAATGCTTTCTCCCACAGAGCAAATTGAGACTTTGGGAGTAGAGGTAGACCTTAATCAGGAATATGGAGGAGACAACCAGGCTTAGCCCGAGGGAGAAGTCAAATGCGTCATCAGTCATAGTCCCTGCACGCCCCCAAAAGAGATCTAAGCCCAGCCCACCTTGAATGCTTTCTTAATTCTGCTCATTTCCCTTGACTGTTAGTAGCTCAGATTCTTGTAGAGAATTTAAGCTTCCAATAAATCTTTACACTCATTTGAACTGCCTGAATCTCCTGATTTCCCCGGCGTTTGACAGAATAGTAAGTGGAGAAGGAGGGTTGGAATCTTTATTCTTTCAGGTAAACTATAAAATACAAGTCTTAGAATTTGGCCTAGAAATTTATAAAATATAGAAGAGGAGGACATTTTAAGGCATTTACCCAAAAGGAAGATGGCCTTAGATCTCAGGAGATCCCCATAAATAAGAAATAAGAGACCGAAAAGCAAAATGCTGTCCAATGCTTTTCCTACTTTGTCCATCTAGATATGTCAACTCTACATGAATCCATTGCTGGAAATTGCCTACCCAATAAATAAACAAATGTTTGTATGGAACACATTCCACCCAAATAATATTGCATTAATTAATTATTAATGAATTGAACAGTCTGTAAAACAATGTACTCCATTTGCAAGCCAGTGAATTTTCTGTTGTGCCCTTCCTTCTCAGAGACAAGTGCACTATTCACATAAAAATCACACAACGCAACCTACACATGAAACACACAGACTGACCTCCTTTCTTCCAGTAAAAATGGCAAAAGTTGAGAATAAAAGAGAAAGAGAGAGAAAGTAAAGTGGTGACTGAATGAAAAGGGCAAAGAAGAGTTAAAAAAAAAAACTGGACAGAAGCAAAGCATGGAATAATGCAACAGAAAAGGAAAAGGGAGAAACCCCAATTAGGGTTACAAAGAATTGAAACTCCCCAGCCCTTCCAAGCAAGACGTAAGCTTCCTGCTCTTCTTCAAAATGATCTCCTTCCTAGTAGAAGGCCCGTGGCCATCTGCACTTCTCTAGCAAACCTTGGTTTCCAAAAAAAATATTATTTTAGCTTTTAGTATTCTCAATCAGAGAATACTGAGCCTGGATAGCTCAGCAGACTAATGCATTGTAATTTAACTCCAGCTGTCTGCAATTAGTAAGTTCGAATCTTGCCAGGCTCAAGGTTGACTCAGCCTTCCATCCTTTCTAAGGTAGGTGAATTGAGGACCCAGTTTGTGGGGGCAATAAGATGACTTTGTAAAAATATACAAAAGTATGAAGGCTATTGCTTAACGCATTGTAAGCCGCCCTGAGTCTCCGGAGAAGGGCGGCATATAAATCAAATAAAAAAAAAAATACAAAGTCTCCCATTAATTTACATCTTGGAGAAAATTTGTCTTCCTATCTGGTAAATATGTAAATACATACTGTAATTGGAGAGTCATGATATTAACCATATTAGTTTTAATTCAGTTTTAATTCAGAAGAATCAAAGCAAATTTAGTTTTCTTCCTGGCTTCACCCACTCTAACATACAGTGCCATTCAAGGCTGGACAAAGCTGTGTCCCCTTACATGAATACTTTAGTCTGGAACTGGGTTCCTTAATTTTTCTTTATTTTCACAGGACAGTAGCTTCGATTATGGCTCCTACCATCTTGTACTTGTCTTTTGGGGGTCTTTTGACAAAACTGCCCTTGCTTTGGCCTCATCTGACAAAGGATAGGCAGAAATGTGGTTATCTCATTTGCAACTTGAGCTGATTTGCCATGGTGTTTTATGCAGGTATTATAAGTGATATGGCTTTATAAACCAGCCTCCTGAAGCTGGAATTCTCCAACTGCATTGGGGCTATGGGTTTTGCCATTTCTGCCAAAAATAATAATAGGAACTGTAGATTCATTTTCGTTGCTTGACATTCAATATGCCCATAAGCCACAGAGTCTTGGTGGCACAGTGGTTAGAGTGCAGTACTGCAGGCCACATCTGCTGATTACCGGCTGCCTGCAATTTGGCAGTTGAAATCCCAGCAGGCTCAAGGTTGACTCAGCCTTCCAGCCTTCTGAGGTAGGTAAAATGAGGACCTAGATTGTTGGGGGCAATATGATGACTCTGTAAAACCCGCTTAGAGAGGGCTGTAAAGCACCATAAAGCGGTATATAAGTCTAAGTGCTATTGCTATTGTCCTGGAATGTATAATCCAAACAATTCACTTCTTTTATGTCTTGCACATTTACTACAAAGAATGCATTCTCAAAGGGAAGCCTGCAAAATGTCAAGAAAATCCCCTTATCCAACCCTGCTTATAAATAGTCCAAGCTTTTGGTTTGTTGCCAGAATCAATACTGTACAGAAATATGTGGTGAAGTAATTCTCCAGGATGACGTTAGAGGGCACTGTGAGGACAGTAACAGTACATTATCAATAAGATCTACTGTATTATAGTAGATTATTAAAGTCTTCTTATTTAACAACCGCAGAATCATTAATCCTGGTGCCTTGGAGAAATTCCAGAGTCAGTAATTACATTCTCCTGACCCTTCTTCCCTACTTTTATATGCGATAAACAGAGACAGTAGTGCAAGAGTATGTATGCGTCTGGTCAGCACAAAAAGGGATAAAGCTTCAGGATAAGGTCCTGCCACTCGGTATGAGGAAAGTAGAGAAAACAAGGTTGGAGAGGATTCTGTTTCAACACAATACCGAAAGTGGCTGATAACATAATAATAAAAGTAAGCCAAGGAAATTCCACAGAATGAACATAGAATTTTAGTGAAGAGAGCATACATATCCTCCTGAGTACTGCAAAATATAAATATCTGAAAAAGACCAATGCATACAATGAAATAAATCTTGTGGAAGCCTACATTCACTCATGAGAGAGAGGGGGGGAGGTGGGAAGGAGGGAGAGAGGGAGGGAGGGAGGGAGAGAGAGAGAGAGAGAGAGAGAGAGAGAAAGAGAGAGAGATTATATAAAGAAATGTTATATATTCCCTTGTAGACATTATAATAAGAAATAATAACCAATATTTCTCACCTATATATGTCCCTGGCCATCCCAAAATCTCCAATTTTAGCTATTCTTCCAGGACCTTTACAAGTAAGGAGGCAATTTCGAGCAGCAATGTCTCTAGAGAAAGAACAATTGGCTGTTTTAAAAAATAATTAATAAAATTAAATTTGTGTGGTAACCTAGACAGACCAGCTGTTAATTACTGGAAAACTAAAAATAAAGCTATTATTGTTAAAATAATTGAGCACACACATTTTCCAAATAGAAAAGCCAAAATAAAAAAAATGCAGAAGTAGAAAACTTCAAACTTGCTTTGAAAAAGAATAATTTCTATATAGGATATTTTGAGCTCCTGAAGGAAAGGCAGAATATAAATCCGTTAAAGAAATTTTAAAAAATAAATAATGCCTCAGTTCCTTCTTCTTTTTTATGTTCAAAGCAGCAGACCTCTAGAGGGTGGTAGTACACAACAATTGTTGTCAGTGGCTTGTATATTAACCTGATGCAAGTCAGCCACAGACCCCCCCCCCCACACACAAAGAGAATGGTCCTTCTGCAATAATAGCTTCTCCTACTGACCTGTGAATGAAGTGATTTTCTTCCAAATACTGACAACCACAAGCAATATCACGAGCTACGTGTAGCAAATCCAGCATGGTTAGTGAGGAGGGATGGGTCTAAAAGGAAGAATCAAAGAATTATTTCAGGAATATGAATTTAAACAATCAAAAAGGGCTGAAAAGGATTTTTTTAAAAAATAGGCAATCACAGAATCTGTTAGAATTAGTGTTGCTAACAGTATAAAGCTAAGTGTATATATTTTTTTTTTCAAAAAAACCCAACACATTTTAGGTTACATTATTGCAATTCTAAACACTTCTTCCTAAGGTCTTGATCTCTGCATTTCACAGGGACAAATCTTGTTTTCTGGGCATCCCATTTTCTCTACTTTCTTTCTTGCTAATAAACAATTCTATGCAAAGTAAGCATGAATAAGGACTCAGGGCGGTGTACAGCCAAGATAAAAAAACATAGAATACAAATATTAAAACATTTAAAAATATATATAAATTTCGGCCCGAAAGTTAAGAATCACAAACTAATTAAAAGAATCTAAAAATTTATTCTAAGCCAACCCGGCTTGCTGAAAAAGATAGGTTTTCAGGGAACGACGGAAGGCATTGAGGTCATGGATTCTTCTTATCTCTGGGGGCAACTGATTCCAGAGGGTAGGTGCCCCCACAGAGAAGGCCCTCCCCCTGGGGGTCACCAGCCTACATTGTTTGGCTGATGGCATCCTGAGGAGGCCCTCTCTGTGGGAGCGCACAGGACGATGGGAGGTCGTCGGTAGCAGCAGGCGGTCTCGGTGATAGCTAGATTTTGATAGTCCAGGGACAGAGGAGATTATAAACAAAAAATATTTTTCATTGGACAGATAGAAACATGATGTCTCTATGTTCCTTCGCAAAATATTTGCATTTACAAATCTGGCATTGAGTAAAATAATTAGTATTTAGAATTAGAATTAGAATTAGAATATTTTATTGGCCAAGTGTGACTGGACATACAAGGGATTTGTCTTGGTGCATATGCTCTCATTACTAGGCAGGTGATCTTTTTAGGAAACCTGAAAAACTACATGAAGGAAAGTATTGCAATAAAACAATCTCCGCCAGTCTGATAGAATTGAGAATGAATGAGAAAGTGAAGGGTCAAATCATGTACCAGTAAGTATTTCAGGATTGTAGAAAATTGTCAGACAAGCACATCCATGTTCATGTTCACTGAATGCTCCAGATTGTTGATTCTCATCCTAAATGGCCAATACACAGGAGTGTGAAATGCTCCAGTTCATGTATTTATTTATTAAATTTATATGCTGCCCATCTCCCTCTGCAAAGCTACTCCCATTCCCTTCCCTACTTCTGCTAAAAAGAAAAATAGCTAAGAACAGAATCCCCAGAGGAGCTAAAGGAGTTGGCTTTAAAAGCAACCCTCATCCCCAATTAAAGGTAAGAATTTGTAGAGCAGGGCTCCCCAAACTTGGCAGCTTTAAGACTTGTGGACTTCAACTCCCAGAATTCTCCAGCCAGCATAGTTTCTGGGAGTTGAAGTCCACAAGCCTTAAAGCTGCCAAGTTTGAAGACCTCTGTCATAGAGAAAGCCTAGGATAAAGTCAATCATGCAGGGAGTTCTGAGTCAACAAGTAGTAAATGTTTACTTAGCATTACACTAGGGATATAAATATGCTTTTAAGATGTTTGCACTGTCTATTACAGTATATCTATTATTGTTCTGGAGCAGTGGTGAAATCTAAAATTTGTTACTACCGGTTCTGTGGGCGTGGCTCGGTGGGGGGGGTAATGTGACTGGGTGGGTGTGGCCAATTTTTAAAAAACTTTTAAAACCATTTTTTCTACAACCTCTTCAGTGAAGACGTTGTTAAAAAATGCTTTCAAAAGGCTCTGACGATCCAAGCTGAGTTGCCTGCTCGGCAGAGGCTTTTAAAAAAATCTCTGCCGATCAGGCACTCAGTTTGGATCATCACAGGCATTTAAAAGAAAAAAAGGGTTTTTTTTCTTTTAAATGCCTGTGACATCCCAGCTGAGCCACGCAATCATCAGAGGCTTTTTTTTTTATTTTTAAAAGCATTTTTTGGCCGAAGAGGTTGTAGAAAAAAAATGCTTTTAAAAGTAAAAAAAAAAAAAAAAAAAGCCTCTGATGATTGTGTGGCTTAGCTGGGCATGCGGGGGGCAGGGATTTTTGCAACCTATTCTCCGAACCACCCGCCTCCATCGCTACCTGATGAGGCAATCCGGTCCGAACTGGGAGCATTTCACCCCTGTTCTAGAGGTTCAGTACTCTATGTTTGATACATGTTGGGCAAGTCCCTTATATTAGGAAGAAATCTATCCCAATTTGTTATCTGCTCCAATCCTGCATTATCCTTTTTGAAAGAGAGAGAGAGAGGGGGGGAGGGAGGGAGATTCTTTTCAAAACACTTTCTCTGTTTTGAACATCTCTATATTTTTTTCTCCTTTGCTGCTGATTAGTTTACCAATGACTACTTAAAGCAGCAAAAAAAAAAAAATATTTTTTTTGCATTTTCTTTTTTTTTTTTTACTGTTTAAAAAGATAAGGTAAGTTTATTTATTGCTTGTGAAATTGTTCTATCTCCAAAAAAAGATGCTTTGGATTTTCATCTTCTGTAGGGCCACATCAAGAATTAGACATCTGAAAGGCTTTAATCCAGCTGTGTCATAAACACCATTCGTATTTTAAAAGAACATCAGCTCTTCCTCAGTAGCAGGTTGAGTGCCATCTGACCTGCCCCCCTTAATTTGACACTATATTGTCAATCATTTCATATTTTCTATCACTGCAGTTTTCTTGGTTAAAGGTATAGGAGTGGTTCACCATGGTTTTTACCTGTGCAGTATGATTTGATGCCTTTCCATTGTCACTAAAGTGATCCTCTACCTCCTGCATCTTTCTATATGCTACTGTCCAGTATAGGTACCTGCTTGCTTTAATTGGACAAATGGGATGACCTTGATGCTTTGGGTGATCTTGCTGAGAAGTATACATTTGACATACCCTCCCAAATGTTCTTTGCTCACCCGTCCCAGGGACACCCCCTTCCCTTGCCATGATGAGGCAGCACAGCTGACCTTTGGGGGCCGGGGATGATAGAAAATAGACTATATACGTTTTATGTAAAATTTTATGCAAAGCTTTTGTCACAGTTTGGTTTAATGGAAAAAAGAAAACCTCGTGTACTGCCTTTTATTTTATGTCTGTTGAAGTAGAAACTCTTTCTCTACCAAGGGCGATTTAACAGAGTAATTTGTTTGAGATGTGAAACGTTTGCACCCATTTTGTAGAGAGAGGCAGAGTGCAGGGGAAATTCATTTTCCAGTTCTTGGCTGCTCTTCACCCAGATGAAAGAATGAGGCAGCCAGCTAGAAAGGATGTAGCTGCCATTTGCAAGAAGAGGTTGGGAAGAGTTAAAGTAACACCTTCCCTTGTTAGGTCAAACTTTGTAAAAGGTGACTGCAAAACAAATTGGTTCCATTGCTCAGCATAATCACTGCTCTGAGCACCAAGCTGTACGACACAACGGAGGGAAATTAATGCTTTTCTTCCCCAAACTTCTCCCAATTGCTTTTCTAATGCACAAAAAGCTTTTAATTGCTTAGGAGATAGTTTTATGTTCTTAGCTTCTGCTCATTTCAGTTCCGAGAATATGAACAGTCTTGTATTTCTACCTCTATTAGCATCATATTCTTGCAGCAATAAGATGTTAACCATTAAAAACATTCTGAATTAAATTGAAATCGACTTGGAGGAGCTGAAAGAAAAATAGTAACTCTAGCTAAAAAAACAAAACAAAAACCAAATAGAGCATGGTTTGAGTAAGTTTTCAGTTTATCATAAGAGTAGGCAGCATTCAGCTTCTTTTGTAGCCATGAGAGCTATTGAAAACGGTGCCTCCAGCATTTAGAAGGAAAATCTTTGTTTAAAGGGAAATTATATGTTCTGTACAATAAAGGGTAGTGCAGTGGGTAAGGCATCATATTGTAAACTAGGAGACTAAATTCTAGTCCTGCCTTGGTACAAAAGCAGTTGGATGACCTTGGGCAAATCACTTTCTCTTAGCCCTAGGAAGGACGCAATGGCAAACCACTTCTGAAAACCTTTGCCAAGAAGTTTGTCCAGGTAGTCTTTCAAAACTGGACTTGATTAAATGGAAGGAAAAATAGTCTTAAATTTTTTATTTTATTTTTAAAAAGCTCCCAATCTCCTAAAAGTAAAACAATGCCAATAGTCATATATCAACATTCAAATTCTAGCTTTACATATGAGCATCTTAACCAGCACATTTTCTTAACATTACATAATTTGCCTTTGGTTCAGAGGCTTCTAGCATTGATGTGGACATCTATATACCATCTTCTTTTCCAAATGTGCTATTATCCTTTTGGTCATCATTTCATCTCCTGTCACATCCATCTATTAACTTTATTGATTCTACACCTTTAAAATATTTTCTGAAACATTATTATTATTATTATTATTATTATTATTATTATTATTATTATTATATTTAAATTTGTATACCGCCCTTCTCCCGAAGGACTCAGGGCGGTGCACAGCCAAATTAAAATACATACAATACAAAATTTAAAATAATTTAAAACAGAATTAAATCCAATTGGCTTCCCGAAGTATTTAAAACCCATTACCCCTTAAAAACCCTTTAAAAATTTCAAGCCAGCCCAGCTTGCTGGAATAGGAAGGTCTTCAAAGCTCGACGGAAGGTCCGGAGGTCCGGGATTAGTCGTATTCCTGGGGGTAGCTCGTTCCAGAGGGCGGGTGCCCCCACAGAGAAGGCCCTCCCCCTGGGGGTCGTCAGTCGGCATTGCTTGACCGACGGCACCCTAAGGAGGCCCTCTCTGTGGGACCGAACTGGCCGGTGGGAGGTTATCGGTGGCAGAAGGTGGTCTCGCAAATAGCTGGGCCCTAAGCTATGGAGCGCTTTAAAGGTGAGAACCAATACCTTGAAGCGCACCCGGAAGACCACCGGGAGCCAGTGCAGCTCGCGCAGGCAAGGTGTCACATGGGAGCGCCAAGTCGCTCCCATAATTACCCGCGCGGCTGCATTCTGGACCAGCTGGAGCCTCCGAGTGCTCCTCAAGGGGAGCCCCATGTAGAGAGCATTGCAGTAGTCCAGGCGAGAGGTGACGAGGGCATGAGTGACCGTGCATAGGGAGTCCCGATCCAGAAAGGGACGCAACTGGCGTATCAGGCGAACCTGATAAAAAGCCCCCTTGGCCACGGCCATCATATGTTCTTCTAAAGACAGCCGTGCATCCAGGAGGACGCCCAAGTTGCGAGCCCTCTCCGTGGGGGCCACTGACTTGCCCCCAATAGCCAGAGTTGGCACCAGCTGGCTATATCGGGACGCCGGCATCCACAGCCACTCGGTCTTGGAAGGGTTGAGTCGAAGCCTGTTCCTCCCCATCCAGACCCACACGGCCTCCAGGCACCGGGACATCACTTCAAGGGCATCGTTGGGGTGGTCTGGGGTGGAGATGTACAGCTGAGTATCATCAGCGTATAGATGGCATCGCACCCCAAATACACGGATGATCTTGCCCAGCGGCTTCACATAAATGTTGAACAGGAGAGGCGAGCGGACCGACCCTTGCGGCACCCCACAAACGAGGTGCTTTGGGGTCGACCTCTGCCCCCCTGCCAACATGGACTGTGACCGGTCGGAGAGATAAGAGGAGAACCACCGTAAAACGGTGCCTCCCACTCCCAACTCCTCCAGCCGGCGCAGCATGATACCATGGTCGATGGTATCAAAAGCCGCTGAGAGATCTAATAGGACCAGGACAGAGGAACAACCCCTGTCCCGAGCCCTCCAGAGATCATCCACCAACGCAACCAATGCCGTTTCCGTGCTGTACCCAGGCCTGAAGCTGGACTGGAATGGATCCAGATAGACAGCTTCATCCAGGTACTGTGGGAGCTGTCGCGCAACCACACTCTCAACAACCTTCGCCACAAAGCGAAGGTTGGAGACAGGACGGTAGTTTGCCAAAACAGCCAGATCCAGAGAAGGCTTCTTGAGGAGGGGCCTCACCACCACCTCTTTCAAGGCAGGAGGCAAGACACCCTCACTCAGAGAAGCGTTAATAATCCTCTGGAGCCAGCCTCGTGTAACCTCCCGGGTAGCCAGCACCAGCCAGGAGGGACACGGGTCCAATAAACATGTGGTTGCATTCAATCTCCCCAGCATCCTGTCCATGTCCTCGGGAGTCACAGAATCGAACTCCTCCCAGATGACATTCTCAAGAGCCGCCTCAGACACATCGCCTGAACCCACCTAGTCAGAGTCCAAGCTGTCCCGAATCTGAGCGATTTTATCGTGCAGATAACATGCAAAATCCTCAGCACGCCCTTGCAAGGGGTCTTCCGCGCTCCCAGATGGAGAAGGGAGCGGGTCACTCTAAACAAGGCGGCTGGGCGATTATCTGCCGACGCGATAAGAGTGGAGAAGTAATTACACTTCACCGCTTTTATCGCCACTAAGTAGGTGGAAACATCTCCACCTTTTTGAACTAGATCTTATCCATCATCTGTTAACCTTTCCCCAGAGATGTATTTAAAATCTGCTTTAGCATCTTTCTGATGTCACTGTATGAGCAGTTTGGTTTTATTTTGGTTCATGTGGAAGTATATCTCTTTGAGAGATTCGATTTGTGCCAAAAAGTTTCCCAGTGCCTAACACATCTCAGCCTTTTCTGCCCGGTATTATCATTCCAAGACACATCAATTTTCTAATGCATGGGTGTCAAACTCGCCGTGTCACGTTGCCGTCATGTGACATTTTGTGATGTTTTTAAAACTCGTGTGTGTGTGAGAATTCATTTTTTCTGCTTTTCTTGTTCATAGGCCAAGTTTGATGTAACAATAACAGAGTTGGAAGGGACCTTGGAGGTCATCTAGATGTGAAAGTGATCGTTTAAATAATGTTTCATTCACAATGAAATGAGTATGTTTTCTTTGTTTTTTTCCCTCTTGTGAACTAGCAAAACTAGAGAATGCTCTGAAAAACTAGAAACTATGAACTAAAAGAACCAGGAATGTTTAGCCTTGAGAAAAAAATGACTGAGCTGGATGTAATAGCACACGTCAATACCTGAAAGGGTGATGCACAGAAGGTCAAGACCTCTTTTTTATCACCAAAACAGTGGATTTAAGTTACAGGAAGTAGAGTCAAATTGAATGTTAGACATGGGAACTAATTACCTACATAGTTGTGTTTGCGCCTTTACCCTGAGTTTTCAAAGAGAGGCTATGCTACTGATTTAACCACACAGCGTACACTATAATAAAATGTCATGGTACAAAAATATATATCCGTCAACATAATATGTAAAGTAATGTTGAATAAAGTAAAAATATCACCACCATCACTAACAGCAGCAACAGCAGCAGCAAAACAATTAACCAATGGTAGAATTCTTCAAAGTCTTATGGAAGAGTTGGTTTTCAATGGAAAACCAAAATTACTTATACATAAAAGGTGCTGGTTAATAGTGGGAAAGACTCTACAGCACAGGTGTCAAACTCGCGGCATCATGTTGCCATCACATGACATTTTCCCCCTTCACGGAGCTGGAGTGGCTGTGACTTGTGCGTGATGCATCCGGCCCATGGGCCACTGGTTTGACACCCCTGCTCTACAGTATAATAGCTTAAAAATCTCAAGTTACTATGTTATTAACATAGACAACAAATCTTCAGATATCTTGGCATTTTATAATACATTTTTCAGTGGAGGTGAGGGAACATCAACACAGATGGTAAGATGACAATTCAACCATAATAATGGAATTATATCATCTTGATCTTATTTCAGCAATGCTGTTTGTAATGCATGAGAAATAATCCTATGTACAGTACCTTGAATGTTCAAGGTACATAGGATTATTTCTTTGGAATCACCAGCGGTAGTCCACTCCAAGTAGTCTTTCATCTTACTTGGCAAACATGGAAATAATGCCTAATTGAGACAACTGATATAATAACCTTCACTAACCTACTGCCCTCCAGATTATTACTTCCCAGAATTCCCTTTGTCAATGTTGAATTTGCCCCCCCATGTTGGTTAAACATTCTGGAACCTGTAGAATTCTTATAGAGTTGCACAAGTGAAGAATAGTCCCTGAAATTATATAATGTTGCTCTTATAGAGGAGTAATAGTGCCCTCTCTTTTAGTGCAGGCTATTCTTCCATACTTCCACCTCTCACAATACTAGACAACACAGTATCAACAGTAGAGACCCTCAAATTTGTAGGTTCTACCATATCGCAAGATCTAAAATGGACAGCTAACATCAAAAACGTCAGCAAAAAAGCATAACAAAGAATGTTCTGTGCCAACTCAGAAAGCTCAAACTGCTCAAGGAGCTGCTGATCCAGGTCTAAAGAGGAATTATTGAGTCTGTCATCTGCACCTCTATAACTGTCTGGTTTGGTTCTGCAACCCAACAAGACAGACATAGACTTCAGAGGATAATTAGAACTGCAGAAAAAACAATTGCTACCAACCTGGCTTCCATTGAGGATCTGTATACTGCCCGAGTCAAAAAGAGGGTTGTGAAAATATTTACAGACCTCTCATATCCTGGACATAGACTGTTTCAACTCCTACCCTCAAAACGACGCTATAGAGCACTGCACACCAGAACAACTAGACACAAGACCAGTTTTTTCCCAAATGCTATCACTCTGCTAAACAAATAATTCCTTCAATACTGTCAAACTAGTTACTAAATCTGCATTACTAGTAATCTTCTCATCATTCCTATCACCCATCTCCTCCCTCTTATGACTGTATGACTGTAACCTTGTTGCTGGTATCCTTACGATTTATATTGATATTGCTTATTTGTAACCTATGACTATCATTAAGTGTTGTACCTTATGATTCTTGATGAACGTATCTTTTATTTTATATACACTGAGAGCGTATGCACTAAGACAAATTCCTTGCGTGTCCAATCACACTTGGCCAATAAAGAATTTTATTCTATTCTATTCTTTGAATCAGTAGCAGAGTTAGAGTTGGTTCACTTTAAGTGTGAACTGTTGCTCCTAAATAATATGCTAAATCAACTTTCCTTCAGAGTAATTGCTGGTGAATTGTTCACTTAATCAATCTATTGTTCAGTTTCCTAATCAGCAACATAAGACCTGCTCAATTTAATCTGTCAAAGTACTAAAAATCCTTGTAATGCACTGCAATATTTTAAAAGCAAATATTGGAACATTAGCAAAAAGAACTAGGCTATATTTAAATTAGGTAAAACTTTCAAGGTGATCTGGAAGCTGAGATTACACTGAACTATTATTTTTCTCTTACCGGCTTTGGCCGTGTCTCCCTCAGGAAAGATTTCAAGTCTCCTCCAGCCATAAGCTCCAGCAAAATAAAGCGAGGCAGAGCCTGTAAGCTCACTCCAATGCAGCGTACAATATTCTGGTGATTGAACTTGCTGCAAGGAAGATTGAGGGGAAAAAAAACCTTTAATGCAAAAAGACACAGATTGAACCTTGCGATTTGTTCATTTAACCAAGCCTTTTTTTTAAAAAGCTCTCTTGCTCTCCTGGAGCATTGGACTTCATTTGGCCACAGTGGACATTATAAAATTGCAGATCGATATTTGTGTTAAGCCAGATCAATGTAGACTGGTGGTCAAAAGAAATCTGCTGTTGGATTGGATTATAGAAGAATATTGAAAGTCAAAAAATAGTAATTTGGTCAGTGAATTTTTATATGGAAAATAATAATAAAATAAAACAACTTTTTCCTCCCCCCCCTCCAAAAAAGAAAAAAAAATGAAAAGTTTAACAACGTATCTATAATTTTCAGCTACTTTGTTCCTTCTTTCTCTCCTCAGATTTTGGGGCAATAGTGAATAACATTAGTCTTATGATACCTTGGTGGTAACTACAAAATTATTACTATCCCTGAAAGCCAACATTCACTATGCAAAAATGTTATTCCTTACTACTATGTGAATTTCAAGTATTCTTATAATTTTAAGAGACTCTTTAACAAACCAGAAAATCTGAGATGTTAAGCTAACCCCAGTGTTATGTTTAGGAGATAATCCTACATTTATCTGTCTTCTGTGGTGATTTTAAACTAATCCCATCTCTTATGAATGATAGTCCTGATAGAGGATTGTTTTATAGGCAGATTGTAAAGTTTGAGGAAAATAAGGGAAACACAATTGTTTTGGACAATTTTACTGCATTATATGTGATTCATCTGTATAAAAGCTGGAGAGTAAAAATGACCAGCGCTTTTAATACTGATAGAATGTATTTGAGGTAGAAAAGCAGGCGACCAATTTGAATGAACACACCTTATTATAAGAGCTTCCATCAGGAAATCCAACTCATCTTGCTCTGAGCAAACCTCTGGCAATGTCTAGTCAAGAAAGAAGAGAGGGGAAGTGAAATTTCTTTCATGTGGAAAGTGTTTTAGATACCACCTTTCCAAAGACTATTCTAAGCCATTTAAAAGATACCTAAATCTTTAGAAACTTCCTATTAGAAATTTTCTACAGAAACTCCATATAGAAACTCAACTATTTAGCTTTCTGGGTGGAATGATGAGAAATGTAGTTCAACACTATCTGCAAACTCCAAGTTGAGAAAGATGGTATATTATCAGAAAAAAAAATCTGGATTTAATACGTATGTCTCAGACAATTATAACCGCAAACATTTTCTTCCATCACTCAACTACTTTGAGAAAACTTCAGTTTTCTGTTAGCACATCAATAGCAACATAGGGTGGTGAACTGTGACAGGATAAGGATGTTGAATAGGAAAAGTCTGAGCTAAATTCCCAAAGGAATCCCAATCTATAGGTGCTAGATTAAATGTTTCTAATTTCCAACTAGCATGGACAATAGCTACTGATATAGAAGTTATGAGAGTCACAATGACAATACTAGAAAGGGAACACAATCAAAAGTATTTCCTGCTTGGGATAAGTAATATTTGAAAGAATCAGAGTTTCAAAAACATGCCTATGAGTTAAAATTAATAACTTTTATGAACTTCAGCAATAAGCATCTGAGTGGCAGTTCTGGACTCTTAATGCCTCCAAATATCTACAATCAGGAATACATTCACCCTTTTCCCCTCAGAGAAACTGAACTCAATCATAGCCTTTCCTTGATGTGATATGTCCCATAAGGCAAATTTGTCTCACTGAAACTTACTTTTACAGCCACTTGAAGAGGAGTGGGGTCAGTGGGGATCCCAATCACCTGGCCTTCATACACTTCCCCAAAAGCTCCATGGCCTAGACCCCTGACAAGACCAGAAAAGAGAAGATGATTTTAACATAAGCCAAAGGCACAATTCTTACAATATACATTCTCAAATACTGTATATACTAGGATGTTCAAATGGAAAAGTCTTGGTGTTTTATTAATTGCATTAGACTATTATGTAAATAGTGAGAGGTTTCTTTCTTTTTTTTTTATTGAAAAGTTTTAGAGAATTTTACAAATATTTTCCCATCCCACCTCCTCCCTAGTGAGAGGTTTCTTAATGCAGTCTTACTATTGGATGTAGGAGCTATTCAAGGGAGAGATTTTAAAAAAGAGCTACTCTAAGAGATATTTTAAAAAAAGGAACCAATTTCACTACGCCAACATAGTCATACCACTGCCAGTCTTTCTTCTGTCACCAGCAGCTATTATATATAAAAGAACAATAATTTTTGATGACAGAAAACAAGATTCATGTAAATCTTACCAAGTACAAAATATATAGGTTTGCATTTTTCAGGTTTAAAATGGATGAGACTCAGTCACTGTTTTCTATGCTAGAATGGATTTCATTCAGATGCCTAGAAGGGAGTTCAATTTTTAAATATTCTATGAAGAAAAAGCATCATTGCAAGTTGAAGAAATCCAAGCACAGCAGGATGTCAACTATGTTAGAATCTTTCCCCCCCGAAATGCTAGATCTTGTTATTCTTTCAAGTTATATAGACTTGAAATATTAAGAACCCATATTCTGGATCCTGAAATAAATAGGAACCAAGACAGCACATATATTTAAGCACAGGAGAGCTGCCTATTTCCCAGTTATCTGAAATAATTTCAGTTTTCACATTATCTGTAAAAGAAGCCCCATGGATAATATATTACTGTATAGTGTATTATTCTAAAATTTAGAAATTAGCAAATCAGGGTAATAAAAGCTCCATTACAAATGCAAGTGATACGAGTTGGCATGCCAGCCAAGGCTAGTTAGAAAGCACTCTTGGAAATGCCTAAAAATATCGTGAAACTCTGAGTGCCACTTTATTGGCTCTCACATAGTCAATAATTACATTCCAGTTCTAGTTCATTATTTTTTACTGCCTCCAGTGAATTAGGTGGAAAAAGGAGTACTAGAATCCCATAGTTTCCAAAAGAAGAGGTAGGTGTGCTTGCTTTTTTACAACCCAAGAAAAACAAACCAGCAAGCAATGTCAGCACTGTCAATCACCCGACCCCCAAATCTTGTGACATCTAAAACAGTGGTGGGATTCAAATTTTTTTACTACCGGTTCTGTGGGTGTGGCTTGGTGGGCGTGGCATGGCTTGATGGGCGTGGCATGGCTTGGTGGGCATGGCTTGGTGGGCGTGACAGGGGAAGGATACTGCAAAATCCCCATTTCCTCCCGATCAGCTGGGACTTGGGAGGCAGAGAATAGATGGGGGCGGGGCCAGTCAGAGGTGGTATTTACCGGTTCTCCGAACAACTGGTTCTCCAGAACTGGTCAAAACCTGCTGAATACCACCTCTGATCTAAAACCTGATTCTTTTTTATTATAAGATGTACATTGTGATTGCTTCATGACAACATCTCTCTTCAATAGTGCCATCCAGGAACCATTTCAACAATATAATAAATGAGTAGAATGCAGTTGAACTTATTAATGTTGGCACCAATGGAAACACCACCCCACCTCCATATACAAGGTTAGTTTTCGGGAAGCAAGCAGCTCATTAGAAGCATTAAAATCTTTCTTTGCATTGTAGACAATGCCTATGTTGATCGTTACTTTGCTTATTTTAGAATTTAAAAAAGGAATCCTACATGCAGGAGCCCTGGTGGCACTGTGATTAAGTGGTTAAGTGCAGCATTGCAGGCAAACTTTGCCCAAAACCTAGAATTTAATCCTGACAGAGCTCAAGGTAGACTCAACCTTCCATCCTTTTGTGGTCAGCAAAATGAGGGCCCAAATGATTGGGGGCAATCTGCAAATAATGCTTTTTCATGTAGGAGTGCTGGAAAGCGCTATGGAGTGATATGTAAGCCTAAATGCTATTGCTGTTGCTACATGTTTAACCTAAATTTGAACCTCACCAGCTTCAAGAATATCTTAAAAAGAAGATGGAACCAGATAGGAGGGTCTTTATAGGATAATAGCTACAAGGGCAAAGAGATGTCTCAAAGTGTTATCTTCTGTTCAGCCTTGATCCTTAATATGGCATTCATATTAAGGATCAAGGGGAAGATATGGAAGAAGTTTGGATCAGATGAAACTGTATTATACAGTCATTTCATCTGGTGCCACTAATTCTCAACCCAGATATTCAGAATGAAACTACAGTTGCTTGTATTAAAAATGATGCTGAGTGGCACAGAAACATGAACCAAATATAATTCCTCCTGTCTCTCTCCTGACATATGTCAGCCATCCAAATGACCACATTGATCTCTGTGTCAACTGCTCTTGCAATTGCTAACTACAGTCTTCTGGTTGTAATATTGGCCTTTGAGACCCTTAAAGTGGAAAGAAATAATTTTATATTAGATGTAAGATTCACTGTAGATTAACTCTGGGCCTAAACATGATTTCTGTAGACACTGTGCAAGTTTCATAAAGAGGATTGGAGGGTTAATTATTTAGGGAAATTGAAAAAAATGAACTAATAAATAACTCATACACCTTTCTATTATATATTTTCTCCCGTGTGCTCATTATACAGATTTTCTGTCACTGTTCATTCCAGGATGCAATTAATAAAGATGTAAAAAAAAATGTATGTGTAGCAACAACCAAATCCCAAGAGGTACTTATGGTTACCTGGCTGAGGGATTGTTGAGTTGAAACATTTGCAAACTTTTTAAAGACATTTTTTAAAGTATGTGGGGCTGCTTGTAGAGTATTAAAGGGGAAAGCAAGTTATTTTCTCTTGTGTAGGAATTGTAAAACTTGGGCGGTTTTATATAGATAGGAGAGAATAAAAATCATTCTTTAAAACTGCAGGAAACAGCAAGAAATCGAAAAAACAGATCATCACAGATAGCTCCCTTCCAAGAAAAGCAACTGTGGGAAAACACATAAAAAAAAAATGAAATTCAATTTTTATTCCACAAACTAATATAAAGAGAAAAAAAGAAGAGGAGGGTTTTTCTGAGCCTCCGTTATCCTGAAAAACTGATCTTGCAGAATTTTATAACTAGAACTTATAAAATCAATACCCAATAGTGGAATGATGAGGTTATCAAGAGGCTTCCTTCTTCAGTTCTTTTCAATGTTTGATTTAGGTTTATGTTTAAATAGTGATACTTTTGTTCCTAGTATATTGCATACTTTCAGAATGCAATTTCTCACAAAGTGAAAAGTGCTGTAGTTTTTCCTAAGAAAACTATCCACATACTTTGTGCATGGTGGCTATAGAACAAAATAAGAAGGATCATTGTTAAGGTCAGAGGTCTGGAAGGATGGGAAGCTAAGCACAGTTCAAATGGAAGAGGCAGAAGTTTTACAATTTTGTACTATCCTGTGACATTTATTAACAATATTTAATTTAGGATATCACTGGCAGAAAGCAGGGTAGCACCTGTCTTCATTAGGAAGTTACCCTGAAAAGCAAAAGAAACAAGTTGACTTGTGATTCTCCCCCATCGTACATCTATGTATGTGTATATGTGTATCAATGTGTGTGTGTATGTGTGTTATAGACATTTTCCCCCAGATTTTTACAAATGTTATAGCATCTTCCGAGGAGTCCAAATGGCATTCCTATTATCCTAGTATTGAAGAGGGTTATTTTTGTAAAAGCTCTTTTCACCTTTCTATAGTTTCCCAATAGAAATTCCTTCAGACTTCTCACTTGCTTTGAAAGAAGTCCAGGTTAGTTAGTGGCAGAGAAAGTGTCCTGACTGCGGATGGATGTGACACTACCAGCTTCAGTGGAAAGTGACTTGGATAGGTTTTCTGAGGAAAAAAATCTGTCCATGTCCCTAGCTACCAGATATTCAATACTGAACTAAATAGTCAAGTGATCTGATTGGGTAGAAGGTACCGGTAACTGCACATTTAAATGATAAATATCTGAACTGTGCCCTTAGAACAAATACTAGGAATTTCAGGTGGAAAATTAAATGGTAAAAATGACAGAGAGAAAAACATTAACCCTCCTCTGGAAAAGTTAGCAACTGTAGTCAAGATCAGTCTCCGCAGGATATCTTTAGAGAGGAAACATTGTGTGGTTTGTCTTTGTAAAACATAGTGATGTGGCTATAAATTATCTATATATTATTTGCTGTGGAACACAATTGCCAGAGTCCTATTGGATGTATGTCTTGCTTGTGAAATTCACAGACCTCTAACAGGCTTTGTGGGAAGAAATGGCTGGACTCTGCCAGTAGGCAGTTCTTTTTATACAGTATCTGTATATTTTACTATGTAAGCTTCTCCATCGAGAATCAAATAAGCCATATGGTAAAGGTTTTGCTTTGTCCTTCATGCCCCTAGATACATTAGGAGTGGTGCTTGAATTATATTACACTTTCTAGACATTTGATTAAGATTTAGAGTTTGGTTGTTGATGTTTTGCTTTCTTAGCGAATTAGGATCACATGGCAATGCCAGCAATTAGGCATTATTACCCTGTACATTTGCAAGTCAAAATGACCTTGCAGCTACCAATAATGTATGAAACTGAAACTGTGTTTCTGAACTTCATTGTCTTTAAAATAAGTGGACTTCAACTCCTAGAAAAGATGACCTTTTCAATCAATCATGGGAAAAAGATTTAACTGTCAAACTTAAGAACTGCTAGATCAGACTAGAAATTCAGATTTCAATTACATTCTCCACTTCATTTGAGACTTCTGAGACCAAGCAAAAGGTGTACATGTGAATTGATGTGTCCACTTTTCTAACAGACTAGAATGTGAGCATAAAGAAGCCAGGCAGATTGGTTTACCTTATCAAAGAAATATTTTTCCGGGGCACTTCTTTGAGGTCACTAATGGAAGTAGTTTTTCCTGCAAAGCAGTAATTGGGGTTATAGTCTGTCATAATTGTGGAAGTGCGCAGCTTGCTCAGCTTGTACTCGGGGCTCTGTAACTCCATCTGCACAGCTTGCAGCTCTTGGTGGTGTTTCTGCCGATACACTAGAAAAAGTAAGAGAATCAGGAATGGGATTGAGAAATGCCATAAGGTTAAAAGCACACAAAGATATACGGGGATTGTGTTGTGCAGATTGACTGCAAGAGTGACAACAAGAGTGAGGTTAATAGAATAAGGCTATGTACTCACCAATAACTATTTGTAAGATATTGAGGATGAAGAAAAAGGTTTTATGTGGAGCACTGTCCAGTGAAATAATGGGTTTGGCATTATTACAGGATTGTAACCAATTTGTACAGAGAGAACTAATCCAGAATTGGCACGTGATTTCTGCAAGGGTGAAGATTTGAGATCTTAACAGAATAGCAGAGTGGGAAGCGACCTTGTAGGTCATCTAGTCCAGCCCCCCACCCAAGCAGAAAACCCTACACCGTTTCTGACAGATGGCAGTCCAGTCTCTTCTAGAAAGCTTCCAGTGGTGAAGCTCCCACAACTTCTGAAGGCAAGCAATCTTCAACAGTTTGCTATCAACATTCACCAGTGAGCTACCAACCTATCATGATTATAATGGAAATAACAACTGCCTTTATTGCCAGCCCCTCAATGTATCTAATCAAATGGGAGAAAGAGATCCAAGGTGCTTCAGAATTTCTTAGCAATCAGAATACCTTGAAGCTAATGCTTCAGATACCAAATGCTATCTTTTAGTGACAGCCTTCCCAGAAACAGGAAAGTTGGAAGGCTTCTTCGTCACCAGCTCAGAATGATGAGGTGTTAGAGGAAACAGTATTAAAATTTCTTGAAAACACTACTGGGAAAGACTGACAACTTGCTAAAAGTATTATTTTAGGGGAATGTTTGTATCAAACTTGGATCCAACAGTTATCTGCAAGGACACCCAAAGCAGTTGTGCTCTGGTTGAGATGTTGCAACAACAACATGGAGTTATATGGGAAAATTTATGTTGTTCAGTCTTACCCCCTGCTTGGTGTAGAAATTCAAATTAAAGCATCTCTGACCAAATGGCTGTCCAATTTCTTTGGAATGCCTCCTATGTAGAGGAATTCATAACCTGTCTCTTAGTAATAGTTCTTACAGTCAAACTGCTCTTACTATATGGAGTATTTTTGACATTTACAGTAACTGGAACATACCTTCATATAACTCAAAACTATTATTTTTTGTTTTATACTCTGAGATGACAGATCTGATAGAGATCTCTGTCTGGAAATAAATAAATATGATAAATAGATCTTCGTATGATATCTTCAGCTATTCGAAGAGTACATTTCATAGTTCATAGTCTTCATATTTAGTCAAGGCTAAATATTTCCTGTTACTACAGTCTCCCTTTATAATTCCCCTTATTACCTTTGCTGCCCTTTACGGACCCCATTGTCAAATTCTCCTTGAGAAGTCAACTTGGAGGGAGTCAACTTGGAGTTGCTGTTTCCTCTTTTGGAAACTAGCTGCATTCGTGCAGAAACGCTTCCCTGTTGCATTCATACCTTCACTCATAACATAACTAGTTACTCCCGAGCACCCAAACTGGTTTTGCAGCTGCCTGTGATAAATGAGCAGCACTCCTTGATTTTTTTCAAGGATGTGCTGATGTCCAGAGGCAGCCCCACTGAATCCAAGCCTTCAGCTTACAAAAGCAAATGCCAAAACAGAGTATGGAGAGTGGGGTGGATGTAGGAGGAAAAATGATGAGCAAAGTGATTGGTTATCTCCAAAGTTGAGAAATGGAGGCAATGTCTGGAGACTGGCAGCTGTTACAAGCAGTCAAGAGGACTCATTCAATTGCCTGGATCACATGCTATGATGAACAGGACATTCTGGTAGGAGTCCTGCCTGGAGCTTGGAATTTTGCCAAGAGCTTGGTAGTAACTAGAAAAGGAGTAACCATAACAGTAATTGGAACAGTACTTCATCCCAAATAGTACAAGAACTTTTGGGAAAAGTCAAACATTGTATGCTACTTTGTAGGGTTTGAGATTTTTGTTTGAATTGGGTATTAAAAGACTGAGTGTAAAGGACTGAGTATTAAATGCATATTTTTATGGCAACATCACCTTGTCTAGAACAGGGGTCTCCAACCTTGGTAACTTTAAGCCTGGAGGACTTCAACTCCCAGAATGCCCCAGCCATGGGAGTTGAAGTCCGCCAGGCTTAAAATTGCCAAGGTTGGGGACCCCTGGTCTAGAAGGTTGACCCAGAGCAAGAGCCTGTTGGTGGAAAAGAAGTATGTTGCAATAAAGCTTTTATGGACAGATTTGCTATGTTGTGGTATGTCCAGTCCAATGAGTAGTAATGGGGAACTATGAATTGTCAGATTCAGCTTTCTTTCCAACATTCTAAAGTCAGAGAGGATGTGACAGAAATTCACATGGGTGAAATTCACATTGCCTGACCCCAGAAGGTACAGCAGGAAGGGGTACCTTAAATTATCTTGAAGTATGTTTGCAATTGTTCTGATTCATGCGCCCAAGACAGCATATTTCATGTAAGTCAGCCTGTCTAGTTGGTCCATATCAAATTACATATGGTATCTACCAACTACTACAATTCTTTTCCTTGTTATTCCTCTGATCCTCAGAGGTCCGGTTGGTCATTTCCTTTTAAATATGATCTAGTGTTCTGTTCTGTTTTGGTTTCTTTTTCTATGAGGGCCTGAAAACTGTTTTCAATGATATGATTTGAACTTTAGTTTTGGTTTTTATTCTCCAAAGGAGTCTACTGCTGTCAGCAGCCCCAAACCTGGGAAATGGGAGACTCATTTACCTTCTTTAATAATTACTGTATTTTTTGGAGTATAAGACACACCGGAGTATAAGATGCACCTTAGTTTTTGGAGAAGAAAATAAGAAAAAAGCTGATTGGTGGGTGGATTGGCCTCACGGAATACCCCCAATCACCTGTTCCCAGACATTAATTTTAGCAACAGGTTTGTTGGATGTGAGCTCTGTGCCTTGCTTTTTTTTCAGCCTCTGAAACTTCTGAAACTCTGTTTCAGAAGCCTCCAAAATGAAATTTCAGAGGCTTTTTCTCTGAAACTTTGTTTCGGAGGCTTTTTTTCTGATCTTCGTTTCAGAAGTTTTTTTTCTGAAACTCTGTTTGGAGGCTTTTTTTCTGAAGCTCTGTGTGGAGGCTTTTTTCAGCCTCTGAAACCTCCGTTTGAGAGGCTGGGCGGTGCTACATTCAGAGTATAAGACGCACCCAGATTTTCACCCTCTTTTTGGGGGGAAAAAGATGTGTCATATACTCTGAAAAATATGGTACTTACTATATAGATAGTCCTTGACTTACAACAGTTATTTAGTTACCACAGCACTGAAAAATGTGACTTATGACTGTTTTTTCACAGTTACAACCTTTGTATCATCTCTATGACCATGTGATCAAAATTCAGATGCTTGGCAACTGGTTCATTTTTATGACAGTTGCTGTGTCCCAAGATCATGAAATCACCTTTTGCAACCTTCTGACAAGCAAAGTCAGAATCATTTAACAACTGGGTTACTAACTTATGAACTGTAATGATTCACTTAACAACAGTGGCAAGAAAGGTCATAAAATAGGGTAAAGCTGACTTAACAAATGTCTCAGTTAACAACATAAATTTTGGGCTCAATTGTGGTCGTACGTCGAGGAGTACCTACTGTATTTTTCAGAGTATAAGAGGCAGCTTAGTTTTTGGAGAGAAAAATAGGAAAAAAAAAATCTGCCTACCAGGTATTCATCTGGCTATCGTCCTTAGTCTGGTCAGCTTCAGCACATTAGTTTGCTGGTTTTTTATCCCCTGCTTGGGGATCCCCTGTGCTTCTAAGGCACAGCTGAGAGGAAGCAGCAATAAGAAAAGCAGGCAAAGCACGGGGAGATCGCTTCACTCGGCTAGCGCCTCATTAGGGCTGAAAAAAAGCTTCTAAAGAGAGTCGGAGCAAAGCATGGAGATCGCTTCACTTGCTAGCACCTCGTTAGAGCACAGTGGAACACAGCGGAGAGTCGAGGGAGCAGGCAAAGCTGGGAAGATTGCTTCACTCGCTAGCGCCTCGCTAGTGCCTCGTTAGGGCCGAAAAAAAACTTTGAAAAAGATACATTCGGAGTATAAGAACCACCCAAATTTTCAGCCTCTTTTAGGGGGAAAAAGGGTGCGTCTTATACTCCGAAAAATACGGTATATACAGTCCTGGAGTACTTAGGATAAGATGATGCTGTCTGTCTGTCTTGCAGTGCAGTTAAAATTTTTAATGCTTATCATTCCCATTATTTAATGATTGTTCCCAAGATTGTCTCAAAATTGTATTGGGCCCTGGATACCTTTATATGTTTATCAGATTAATAGGAGATATTAACTATTACTAACATTATAAATTTGGTCTCTTCTGAATAATAAAACAGCCTTAAAAAGATGCTAATCTGTTGCAGGATGAATAAACCGTGTCCTTCCCTAAAAAGCATTCTCCCCTGCTAGCAAAACTGAAATGGTATTTCTGCTTTGTGAGATCAGACAATACCTGCAAGGTTTGAATTGAACCCCCTTCTACAATTTTCATATTTTTTCATCTGAACTTTGAGATGATTCATACAAAACACAAAATAAGGACATACGTGTAAATAATGTCAATATTTTTTAAAAATATGTATTTTAGAGCCTATCTTCATTGCTAGTTTTCCAATATTATTTTGCCTTTGCAAAGCCCTTAAAGTTTTTTTTAAAAAAGGAAATAAATAACTTTATATGGACTTCAGACTTCAGCTAGTCTCTGTTCTAACCTTTCAAAATCCTGTGGGAGCAATACATGCTGCATAGGGTGGGTGGGAATGGTGGAGAGGTAGAGTGTAGATCAAAATTAATTGGACATGTAAAAAGTTACTTTAAAAGAGTAATTGGAACTGGGCACAAAATTTCCCACAGCACGTTCTTGATTCTGAGAAGTTTAACCCTGTGCTGTGTTGTAGATTTTGCTGCAGTGACATTATTTCTGTTTCAAAAGATAAATTACTAGGCTGTGTGCAAGATGTAGGACAGGATTTGAGAAACCAATTATAATTTCTCCCAATACAGGGATGATGGCTTTTAAAAGTCAAATAAAATATTCATTCAAAATCTTGTAATGAGAGTATAAGAAGTTAATGTCTTTGGGAAGGGGAAGGAGGTGGGGAGCAGCTAGAAAATATAGCAATCTGTACACACACATATAGTGGGTTTTTTTAATTTCTAAAAAGGTAATTAAAGCGTATCTATTAATTATTGTATTTGCTCTGACTCCAGAAATTTACATCTAATCTATTGGCTGTTTGGAGAAGAAATGACTGTCTATCAGGTTGCAGGCACGATCTAGTCCTGGAATCATATTCTGTGGTTCAAAATAACAAGACCATATTTTTCCAGGTTTGAATCTTGGCTCTCTAATGAATTCATAAAATGATCCTAATCAAATCTTTATTGCTTATTCTCACCTTCCCAGCCACAATAATAAGAATTACAGAGCTGGCCTGTTCTGCATAATGTTATAAGGATCGCAGTGAAGAATATATCTGAAGGGTTTTAAGACAATTATTCACAATTTTACTTCCAATGATGCTGCTGCTTCTATCATACATTCTTAAAGGTAGCTGACATGAAATCATGAACATAGCTCATACATAAACACATCAAATAGCTTACTGAATGTACTGCATGAATAATATGGTGCCTGCCAAAGAAACAATGCATATGTTATCAATCTCATTTAAAAGCCTGCTGACTATTGAATTTTCTATATGTGAAACCAGAAGAGCCATGGCTCAGTGGTAGAACATATGCATTGTACTGATTTGTTTCAGCATAAGGCAGCATCCTAGAATAAATGGCAATCAAGGTTGAATCTTCCTGAAAACAATCTGCTTCTAATTATTTATTTATTTTATTTATTTTATTTTTATTTTATATTGGATTTCTATACCGCCCTTCTCCCTGAGGACTCAGGGCGGTGAACAGCCAGATTAAAAAACATGCAGAACAAATATTAAAAACAATTAAAAGATATATAAATTTGGCCCAATTAAAACTCATTTACCAATTAAAAACGTTTAAAACATTTAAAAACAGTTAAAAATTTCATCTTAAGCCAGCCCGGCTTGTTTAAATAAATGGGTTTTAAGGGCGCGACGGAAGGCACTGAGGTCTTGGATTCTCCTTATCTCTGGGGGGAGCTGATTCCAGAGGGTGGGAGCCCCCACAGAGAAGGCTCTCCCCCTGGGGGTCACCAGCCTACATTGTCTGGCTGATGGCACCCCGAGGAGGCCCTCTCTGTGGGAGCGCACGGGTCGATGGGAGGTCGTTGGTAGCAGCAGGCGGTCTCGAAGATAGCTAGGCCCTATGCCATGGAGCGCTTTAAAGGTGATAACCAACACCTTGAAGCGCACCCGGAAGACAACTGGGAGCCAGTGCAGCTCGCACAGGAGCGGTGTTACATGGGAGCGCCATGCTGCTCCCGTCACTACCCGCGCTGCTGCATTCTGGACCAGCTGGAGCCTCCGGGTGCTCCTCAAGGGGAGCCCCATGTAGAGAGCGTTGCAATAGCGTTGCAATTTATAAAATTCATTGGCCACCTATCTTACCACACCCTAACTCTGAGCAGCTTACAATATTAAAACTGTATAAAACTGAATAATATAAATACAATATTATACAAAAATCAACCTAGCTAAAAAGATGTTAATCTATTGGCCACCCCCAATGTGAAATCCCTCCATTGGAGCCCCTAGACAAGTTGTTTAAGCTCTCATGGAAGGTGAGGAGGGCTGGAGATGATCTTGTTTTGTGGGGGGGGGGTTAAGATGTTCCAAAGATGTTTCAAAGGGCAGATGCAATGGCATCTAACTTGTATCAATATTTAAAATAATTGAAATAAATACTTTTTCATGTCATTTAGTAAATGAAGCAGCTTTACCAACCTTGTGCCATTGAAATGCATTGGGATCACAGAAATATTATCAAGCCTAGCCATATTCCTAGTTTGCCTTGAGGGCACCAGGTTACACAGTTGATACATAGGAGGAAATGTCTCTGCCTCCTTAAGTCCTGCTTTGCTGCCTTATTGTGGCAGGGGTAAGTATATGTTCCAGGAAGGGATAAGCAGAGAACACCAGGAATGTATGCCAAGAATATAGACTCCCAATAGGGTCACCCAAGCTATGAACATCATTCCAGGTGACTAGTTAAAGTAAGCAGGAAGACAAATGATTATTTAGTAACAATTGCAAAGGCATCCATTGCATACAGGATGGGAGAAGGCAATTATAAATACACTCCTGTAAACCATACAGATATACAAAATAAAATAACTGACAGTATAGTGCTAAATGATGGTCCTTGAGTCAGCTGGCATTCACCATATTACTGAGGAACAACTGAGGATCTTTCAGAGTAATAATGGTGCTTATGCAGTTATAGTAAAGCTTTAGGGATGTCTAGTTGCTGATGTTGCATGCAGAAAAATATCTGATGTTGCAATTGCAAAATCACAGTGGAAATGTGGAATGTAAGAAACTTGACCATGTGAAAACTCTGCACAATGGAAGATGAAGTGTATCTACCAAAGACTGTCATCTTAGGTGTGAACTAATTGAAATGGATTGGAATTGGATACTTTCAGTCAGAAGTCCATATTGTTTATTACTCAGGATGTGAAAAACAAAGAAGAATCAGCACCGCTTTCATGGTCCAGAAAGATATAACAAAGACAGTATATGGTACAATGCAGTCAATGCCCAAATGATATCAATTAGATTTGGCATATTGATTATCCAAGTTTATGTCCCAACCACTGATGCAGAAGAAGAGGTGGTTGGTGAATTTTATGGTCAAGTTTAAGCTAGAATCAACAGAACATATGCAAGCAAGATGTCTCCTTGTGGTTGGAGAGACTGAAATCCAAAGTTAGAAATAGTAAGGAGGAAAAATAGATCTATATAGCCTAGGAAACAGAAAAAGTAGGAGAATGACTCATCAGCCTGACTGATTTGTTTCTGTATTGCTAACACTTCTTGAAACAACCAAAATAATGGTTACATATATGGAAGTCACCAGATGGATTATACAAAAACCTGATTATCTAGAGATAGAATAGTTATAATAGCAATGTTGTGCCTAGGGACTAATTGAGAAACATGTGGATGTTCCAAGTCAAGATAAAGTAGTAGAACAAAGCCAGACAGTTTCCACGATAGGATCTTGACTAGATACTCACCATTTTCAAGAAGAACAACAGGAATCGTTTTGTAGTCCTGAATCTCATTGATAGGAAACCTCATTGATAGGAACTATGGAATGAAATCAAAGCAGTTATTAAGGATGAATGAGAGACTGCCAAAGATCAAGAAACAGAAGAAAGCATACAGCATGTCAGAACAGACAATGGGAATTGCCAAGGAGAAAAAAAGAAGCCAAAGCCAAGAAAGACAAAAATCTTAAAAAGAAAAAAGAATTTCAGAGTGCTGTTAGAAGAGGTAAGAAACAGTAGTACAATGTCATCTGTAAAGACATTCAAGATGGAAACAGACATGAAAAAACAAGGAAAGTCTTCCAAAAGATCTCCAAACTCAGGGAGAAAGTTCCAATTTGGAATTGGTACACTAAAGGATGCCAATGGACAGATAGTAATTGCTTTAAATTAGATCAAACAAAGATGGAAGGTGTTTACTAAAATTCTGGACAGTAAAGATATCAATATGCAAGATATCTTAGAATATATTCCTTTTTTTACCTCTAGCACTAAAAGATGATGTTAGATCAGTATCCCAGTCATTAACAAGTTGAAAGGCTAAAGGAATTGATACAATATCTATAAAAATATGGCAAGCAATGGAAGAAAAATCAGTAAAGGTTCTAACTTATGCGACCAAATGCGGAGAATGACATAGTAATCAACAGATTGGAAGAGGTCAGTCTATATACAATACCAGAGAAAGGAGACTTAACAGACTGCAGACTATTGAATAATATTCCACAAAACTGAACTGTGTGAAAGTAGAATGAAAAGAGCATCGACACTTTTGAATTTTGATGTTGGAGAAGACACTTGAAAATATCACAGATAGCAAAGGAAACAAACAAACAAACCATAGAAAAAATCAATGTAGAATCCTCACTTGAGATACAAATGACCAGTCTCAAATTACATATTGTGAATGTGCTATGCCAAGACTTCCTCGAGTAGCCCATAATCTTGGGAAAAGAGGAAGGAAAGAGAAGTTGATGTCCAGCAGAAAGATGGATGGGCTCAATTACAGTGGCAATAGATACACCATTGGGTGTTCTGAAGATCCTATTAGGGGACAGATCATCCTGGAGAAGATCGTTGTCACTAAGAGTCAACACCAACTTGATGGCACATAGTCAATCAATCAATCAATTAATCAGTCGGTCAGTCAGTCAGTCAATGAGTTGTGTGGATAATTTATACATTGGATGTGAACAAAGAACTCACCTATCATAACTGCTGAAAAGGCTAGAATAAGACCAGCAACCAGAGCTGAAGTCACTACTGACAAGACCAAAGAAAGAGGAGGATTCTTGGTGGGCAGGATCAGTTCATCTGAAATACAAAAATGACAACACATTAGTTGTTTTCAACTTCTCTTCCTGTTACTTTCCCATTCAAAAAAAATAAAATAAATAAATCTGTATCTGTAGAAAACCACGGACCCACATATTTTTGGACTAGTAAAAAAGATGTCTTGGATGCACACATTTAAAAATGTAGTGCCACGTGGAGGTAGTATCTAAATATTTGCAAGAGAGCTAGAATTAGTACAATTGCACAAATTATCAATTAAACTTCCACAATGAGCTGCCCTAAAAATTTGTTTTTGCCGCTGTAATCAGAATCCAAAATCAGCAATGGAGTCTGATTGAGGGTAATCCAACATAGTCAGAGAGCAAACGAATTAATGTTTGTTATGCAATGTCTTACCTATGCAAGAGACACCATCATTAGCCAACACATATCCATAGCCACAAATGCAAACAATTTCCTGAGTCTTCAAATCTCCGTGGCACATATCATGATCACAATGACTGCAGTTCAAATATAGCTTAATGCTGACTTCACCATGCCCCTCTGTCACTAGAGAGTAGATGAAAGAATTATTGCTTTGGATAATACCTGTAGTAGGTCAAAGATTCACCCTAAATAAAAAACCAGTAAGTAGGATAATTGTGAAACTACCAGCAAAACTGATATGGTCATATAGCTTTGGTTATTGGAAGGGGCAGGGTGGGGGTGGTAAGCAGGAATAGCTGCCCTGTATTTTCAGTTGTAGTATAATATTGCTACTTGCACATATGATTTATGCCCAAATTATATTTTCACGTGATTCTTTTTATCTACGGATTTTACTACAAATGCACATATTCAGAAGAGGAGATGCAAAATTACTCCCACTCCCTTTTCCACCTTTACTGGAAGATACTTGGTTTGAATTGCTCCAGATTCTACTCATCTCTGTTGGAGATCACTCCCCCAACACGGTATTGCCCCAGTCATGTTAGAACTATAGTTCTTAACCAGAATATTTGCTGGGCATAATAATTCAGTATTAAGGGAATAGTAGTCAAAACATCTGGAGAACATCATCTTAGAAAAGATTGTTCTCTAGGAATGTAGAACTTAATACCTTCCTAAGAGGTTTTTACAATGCCTAATTTAACATGGAATGTTTTTAAGCTGTTTCAGAAGACATACTGCTGATATTCTATCTGTACATGTGATAAAATAAATAACTGAAAATACCTTTTAACGCAGGAGTAAAGAGTGAACCATACTGGCTGTTAATAAAGGATACACCATCCTCTCCATCCATTTCTGGGTCATTTTGTTCTGCTGCATTGCCCCCTATGGAATTGAAAAATATCTTAAATAATTTTTATATGGATTCCACTAATGCACATCAAAGAGCAACAAAATCTCTTGCGGCACCTTAAGACTAAATAATCCATTGTAGCATAATTTGGTGTGTGAGCTTTATGTGAGTAATCTGATATAAATACATCTTCATGAATGTTGAAAAAATATAACTCACCATCTTTCGGGATTATGAGGCCAAAAGGCCAATTAGTGTAAGAGATAAAATTATATTTTGAATACAAATGAATATAGAATTAAATCCAATAGATATAATGGTCCATTGGCATAGTGATAACAGATCACTAGATACCATAAGTTACCACATATTAAAAATGATATCACTCAGAACAAAAATCACGGGATGTTTTGATAATTCACTTTGGGTATTCCAACTTCAATTAAAGTGACCATCTTAAGAAACCTCTTGTGATCAGGAACTCCAAGTACATGAAGGTTTGTGAGTTCCCTCTCCAATAACAGAGCAATAAGGTCAAGGCCTCTAAGTAACTTTTTCTTTTGATTGTTCACTCTGAACAATCAAAGAAGGAATATTTTAGTCTACCATAGATTTATAAAATTCTTGTACTTAATACACATACATTTGGCCAATTGGAATACATGTATAAACTCAACTTTGGAGCACTAGAAAGTACTTATTCATTTTCAAGAATTTGTTTATACTTCAAACATGCTTTATCTATTCATCACCAGTGGGAATAGATCTGATTAAGTAGTCTGACCTTCTAAAGTTTATGCCACAATATATCTTTCAGGTGACACTAAACATTTTTTCATGCAACATGGCTACCTTTTTGGTATTTGTCAAATGCAGGTAAATAAATTATACCAATGATCAACACTACAAAACAAAAAGCATCTAACAGAGAAAAAAGCATACGTCTGGCAAAATATCCAATCAATTCCATATGGTTGCAGCTTAATGGTTTTTTAAGCTTCTAACATTCAGAATCTCAGTTTAACAAGACTTTTGGGTTATTAATGAAGTAGATGAACATTATGGCAAAGTCCTAGCCAAAAAGATGACAAATTAGGGGAAAAAGGCATAACATAATCTTCGTACAGCCATTTGAGTGAAAGACTGAAAATATCATGATATGCAAAAGTTAAACTATACACACCAAGTAGTAATAATTAGGTAACTATTCCTTTATTAGCTTATTTAGTCTACAACAACCTCTCCAGTATGGAAACTTATGGATAAATATGGTCATTCTGAAATGGCAGCCAAAGTTAAACTGGGTTATGAAACTGTTCATTAATTTATTGTTTATTTATTTAACCCTATGGTTAGGGTTTCCTGACTAAGAAGGGGGTTGAACTAAAATACCTCCAAGGTCCCTTCCAACTCTGTTGTTCTGTTCTGTTCTGTTCTGTTCTGTTCTGTTCTGTTCTGTTCTGTTCTACTCTACTCTACTCTACTCTACTCTACTCTACTCTACTCTACTCTATTCTAATTTTTGTTCAAGCCAATCAATCTACCAACCAATCATTCAACCAATCCCAGTTGCTCTTTCAAGAGTAGAATACATAACTAAATCATTGGTAAATTTAAATATTCATAGAGGAGACATCATTCTATTTTTTCCAAGAGAAAGTATGTACATACGAGAGAGTGTTGATAAATCTTTTGGGTTATAACATCTCTCCTGATTATTGGCAATTATAATCCAAAATATCTTTTGAGAGTGCTAGATGTATTTATGTAATATGTATGCAGTTAAATTAAATGCTGTAAATATTTATTAGTTTCCCCTGAGATTCTCAAATATATTTTTGAAGAGCTGATTACCATGATAGAGTTACTATAATGTGCTTTTAGTTTGGTGTAAAAGGTCATCTGTACCATTTGCATCACTCAACAATGTGCCAAGAACAGGATTTTCTGTAAATTCTTCTGAACAGCATAGATTGCTATGTTTTTGATATGAACCTGAACTGGTCCTCACATTCTGGTATACAAACAATCAACTTAAAACATTTATCTAATACAAACATGGTAGTCACCACATCTACCTCACTTGTAGTCAAAGGTGTTAGTAACGTAAGGTATCATAATTTACCTATAAGTGAGAAAAAGTGGGATTCAGGATGCTCAAAGTGATTGAGGTTAATTTTTTTTGGCAAAATTTTTGTTTTCCTTGAGAAGGCCATTTTAAGCTAGGCAGTGTCTAACAGCCAGGAAGTACTAAGACCTATTCTTGTTAAGTCTTCTATTCTGGTGGCACTGTTAAATTTCTTGGCAACCTACTTGCAAGGAAGATAAGAGGCCTGATTTATTTGCTTAATCTCTTGAACTTTGGACTGAGGATATTCATGGTAAAAAAAAAAACTTAATGAAAACAGTTCTTTGACACCACCACATCCATACCACCCAATGGTTTGTGTGATTTGCTCTTTTGTAATGTTAAGGAACAAAAAGCAAACATCACCATCTTTTAAACTTTTGCAGCAGAATCTTGAAGGTTGATGGCATGTCCTCATGAGCATTTTCTTTTCACCAAATAGGATGCATTTGAATACTTTTGTCAAACGTTCTGCCACATTGGCTATGCCACAGATTTGGACTTGCACTAATGCCAAGGGGTATTTTATCAGTTTGACAGAGATACTAGTGTAATTTGCAGAGATTTAATGCCACAAAGTAATGCCAAATAAATGTCTCGCTCTCAATCCAAACCATGGGGATATACACCAGCCTTCATAACACACACATCAAAGTTGATTTTTCTCTGGTTTTTTTTTCATTAAAATATATTTGACAATATTCATCTAGTATTAAAAGGCAATATATATACACAGGGGTCAAGAATTCTGCATACAATTTTTCCAAGTCATCGTTTGTCAATAAAGAGCCTAAAAACGTATAGTTGAAATCAATCAGGTATAATTGTATAATTGTAGATTTCCATTTTTTGCACAGTGGACATTGCACAATTTGAAATTGGAAAGCAAAGAACATTGAGGATCACTTTCCAGACATATCTTAGTGTCAAGCTGTGAAAAGTGACGTGCTTTTTTTTTGCCTTTGGAAAAACAGAAGTTCCTCACAGCTGTCCTTCCTTCCCTTTTAGCCAAGGTTATCTACAGAATTTAAAATCTAGCAATGGATAAATTGCTATAATACAACCATGCAGATTCTTGGACACCCTGTATAAATATGCAGCATTATGAAAAATTGAATATACAGATAGATGTCAGGGTAAATATAGATATGTCAATTATAGGGAAAAAAAATATTTCAAGATTTTGCTGAGTATTAGCACTAAGGGAGGGAAAGGGACACCTTGAACACAAAGCCACTTTACCTATATATCCTCCGCCTCCTCCACCTGAGGAGCACCCCCCTCCACCCCCTCCGAAACCCCCTCTTGTCTCCCACCCCCACTTCTTCATGGCCTGGGGGCAGGATTTTCCTCCGGTAGCGCCTTCCAGCAAGGATTTTCCCGACCAGAGGAAGGAAGTGTTATCATTCCAGCCGCCTCCACCACCTGTAGTTCAACAGAAGGAAAAATAACTTGCATAAGTATTTGTTGCAGTGCCCTAGAAGGCACAGACCATCAGAATGAGATCAAGAGTTTGTACAGGTTTCCTAAGAAAGACTAAACATTTCCTTGGGCTTTGTAGTATGGTATGCATGGCTGTACATACACATTCGACAATTCTCTCAAGGCAACAAAACCTAAATTTTTAAACCTAATTCTGGTCATCTACAGTACAGATTACACAGCAGTCCTAGGATATACACATACTGGAAGAAATCTATATGATGTTACTGAACCAGTTAGATTCATGGAGTATGGCCCTGTCTATAAATATATCCATTCAAATAATTTATATCTCATTGGTATGTGAGAGATAAATGCCCTCTAATTAGTGTATAAGCACATGTAAAATATTAAATCTGAGTAAAACACATTTGCCTGTTTCAGGAATTGAATTTCTTAGACCAAGTCTACTGTTAGTTTGTGTGTGTGTGTGTGTGTGTGTGTGTGTGTGTGTGTGTGTGTGTGTGTGTGTGCTGTGTTCCTTGGTACCAGAGGTGGGTTTCAGCAGGTTCTGACAAGTTCTGGAGAACCAGTAATGGAAATTCTGAGTAGTTTGGAGAACCGGTAAATACCACCTCTGACTGGCCCCACCCCCATCTATTCTCTGCCTCTCGAGTCCCAGCTGCTCGGGAGGAAATGGGGATTTTGCAGTAACCTTCCCCTGGAGTGGGGCGGGAATGGAGATTTTACAGTACCCTTCCCCTGCCATGCCCACCAAGCCACACCCACCAACTATGCCACGCCCACCAAGCCACACCCACAGAACCGGTAATAAAACCACCACTGCTTGGTACTGAAATAATTAATATAAGGAAACTTATAACACCTCCTGTTCCCCGCACACACGTATAGTTGGTGCATTTGGAAATAGGACTTTCAAGGGAGAAAAAACAGGGTGCCAAAATTCAGGTTTGCCATTCAGATGAACCAAGATTCAGTTCTTGCTACTTCCCAAATAAAAGTGCAGAAAAATCACTAATGGGAAATTCTTGAAAGCCATCACCGAACAGATTGGACCAAATCTTTGTTTACCTTAGGCTGTAATGGGCATGATGAGAACACAAATTGTCCGAGAATCTATGTCTTGAGCTCTAGGACTATACTAAGTTTAAGAAATGAAGTAACTGTAGGATTTTAAGTTTATAGCAAAGTTTCTGAATGGTTTTTATTTCAGAATTATGATGCCACCAATTTTCAGCTACAAAACTGAGTGTTGCCAAAAACAACAACAACAAAAAACTGAGAGGGGGGTGACGGGGGGGTGTGACGGGATGGATGACATGTAGGAATGTAGGAACTCAAATTGCTGTCCCCTAGACAATTTTGACAAATAACCTAATGCTCTAATATCTGGTGTACATTCCTTGTCCCTAAATTGTACAATAGAATTAAGCATGGTATAGGTTAGAGGGAGCTCAGAACAAATGATCTTTCTGTAATAATTTGATGCTTTCCCCTTGCTCTTTATATTTCCTCCTGCCTAAGGTGAATGGGTGATAATATCATTTTTTGTTCCTCTGTGGGTCTTATTCGAGATAATAAAAGAGAATTTCCTATAGAAATGCTTTCAAAGGAGAAGAGAATTTGGGAGAAATGCTCATGAGCCAAGTGTGATTTTTTTTGGACTTCTTTTGTTGTTAAGGTGATTAAGGGTTATGTGGGGATGTCTCCAGGGTC